TTTTGCTTTCGGAAAGACATCGGCAGGCCGCACCAACAAAGGGGATCGAGTGGCCGTGCCAGCATCCTCCTGAACGCTTGGGAAATTTAGAAAAAGGACTCTTAACGAAAGGAACTCTTGGCACCATGTGTCTCGTAGACGGAACGTGTCGTCAGTTTGCAGTACTTACAGTTATTAAGTTTATTTACCTTTTTTTCTAGGAATACTACTGGCTACACTTGGAAAGCCATAGAAAAAGCGTTCACAAAATGAATGAAACAAGACCGCATATTCATAGGCTTGAATCACGCGACCGCTTTCCCCCGCGCTAGCCTTCTAACCCATATTTCTAGATAGAGTAAGACCGTTGGGCCTTGCTCCCTAGAAATAAGTGCCTCACGTAAAAGAGGCCAACGTGCGGGGCACAGGTTGAAGCAATGGGCGACGCTAGCACACGGCGTCAGCGATTCTTTAGGTTTACGCACTAATCATTCGAGTCAGAGGTCGGTGTTCTGACATCCCGGCGCGGCCCCCTTTGTTTTTCCCTCTCAGTTTCTCGGCGCATAGCCGACCTTTACCCACAGATAGGAGAGGTGATGCCGTCGCCGATACTTTTCGAGCACGGCGGTCTCGCCGAATATGCAGACTCTCTGATTCCCCAACAAACTCAAATTATTCCGCGAAAATAACGCAACCATAAATTTATAAAATATCTGGTAACATATGTCACGAATTCTAGATGTCTGAGTAAACCGAGATTGTAATTATCCGTTGGCCCGATCCCTTGAAGTCGAGAAACACAGCACTTATTGGAATGAAGCTTTCCGCCATACATAGATAGATCTCGAAAAAGGCATCGACGCATGGATGACCTCTCGACAGCTCACCGTTTCCGTCTACCCAGGGAGCAAGCGCCACGTACCCATTCCGGTTCTCCGGTTCTTCTTCGCCGAACCGGGCACTTTCCGAGCCGCCCGCGCCATCTCGGGGTTCGTGTTCGGACTCTTCATGGGGTTATGTAAGTCCACAGTGAGACGAAACGCCGACCTCAAGTCCGGCCACTGCCCGCGATACGATTCCATGCGTAGCGCAACTTCGTCTGCTTCTGGCGCAGGAGTTGCGATGACGTCAGAAAGACGCCGACTTCTGATTGGCTCTGATTGAAGGATAGTGGGTATACACTCTCAGAAAAATAAAAGTGTATTCTTACACCCCTTGTCCCATATAAGACACCCCAAAACTTCAATTAGACGTACAGCGTGCTGACGCCGAACCGACACAGCTGAAGTACGTATCAAAGTCTACAAAACAAAGACACTGAGGTTTTGCAGTCATACCAAGAAAACCCCAATTTATGTTTTTTTTCTAATGGTTATCACGTTCATTACGTATTTTAATAAGTTGTACCACTCGGCTATGAAGACGCCAGTGAAAGTTGGGAACGTCGGTTCGGTGTCAGCGCGCTGTAAGTCAAACTGAAGTTTTCGGGTGTCATATTGTCAGGGATGACAAGTGACGAGGCGGCGAATGACTGAGTAAACTGGTCGTTTAATGGGGCGAACTTGTGCCCAAAAAATAAAAGGAAAAAGAAAGATAACAACAGAGCGTCGCGGGCGTCGAAGCAGCAAGATCGAACACTGAGGCGAAACTGACTCTGGCTTGCTACGCGAAGTCCCTTATGTACACGAGTGAGCTTCTGGAATAGTCGGCGTAGAATGTTAGACGCGTAGAACATTCTTAACTAACTGAAACGAGAAAGTTTTCGAACTTGCGAGAATGACAAGTAGAAAGAATAAATAAAAGACACTCCTCTTCCAGGAATCGAACCCTGGCTCATCGCGTGGGAAGCAGACACGATAACCGTTAGGCCACGGCCGCGCTGCCTACTTGGCAGCTGCGCGCACGGCATTATATGGAATAAGGGGTGTAAGAATATATCCTTTTTTTTTTCTTAAAGTGTACGTCAAAGCAAGTTACCCACTATTCTTCATTCCGAACCAATCATAGCTCGGCGTTCAGACGTCGCCACAACAACTGCAAAAGAAGCAGACGAACTTGCGCTCTGCATAGGGCCAATTCAAACCGCACCACAAGAGTGCATCGCCCCTGTGCTCGTTGGCTTTGTGGGTTTGTTATACACCTTTCCAATAATCCCCTTCTGGGCGCTACTATCTTTGTCTGCTGGGCTGTCGAAGGCGTTCTTAACGTGCGCAGGACTTCTCTTGCACGAATTATGAGACGCAAGTGACTCAGCATTTGGCGCCGTTGTGATAAGCCAACACCACCAAGAATAATTAAAGCCTACGCATCGCCTCCTCTCCCTTTATGAAACGTCACCACAGTCGGATCGTGCTAACTCGGCTGTTAGGCCCATGCCCGACCTTCGACGCGCTGATTGAACACGAGCCTTGGCCGAACACTGACGCAGCACTCGTGCTCAATCTCAGGCCTCGATCGATCTGACTGTGATGAGGAGGCCGTCTGATTATCTAGATGGTGTTGGATAAGCGCTAGAAAGGTTTATACCTGCTAAACCAATTACGCATAGAACAAAAAGCCCCGGATCGCAGTGCGTACGCTGTCCGTGATTGGTTTCGTCAGTGATACAAAATGCACAAAGGCGATGAGCGGCACTGTGACGCTGCACTTTTGGCACTGCATGCTTGGCACCGTCTCATCGTGGCGTCGGCTGCGCTCTGTCCTAAACAAGCGGGGCGTATAACTTAATTTCAGAAGCACAGTGAATGGTTACGATAACCCTGGTGCCTATATTTATATAAGAAATCTAGTGAATAAGGGCCAATCACGTGACGCCATATTGTTGTTAGTGGTTCGCAGCGCGTGCCGAGAAAGACAATCCTGATTGGGTAGAATGCCGGATCAAGCACATTCAACGTGCGCTCTACCGAACCCCGATTAGTTGTCCTTGGCATGCGACGACTGTGAGGCCAGTTCTGAGCACGCACTTTGAACAAAGGCAAATAATACGGCGTCCTTCGAAAAACCTTTATGCCAAGGCACACAGTGAGTTACCGCTATAGCTCCAGCACAACAATATAGTGGCGTCGTTCGAATGACTTGTGTGCCACGGTACACCGTGAGTAACTTGTAGCTCCAGTGCAACATTATAGCGTTCTATCGCATTTTTACTCGAGGTGGTCGTTGGTGGGCGTCACGTTTTTTTACCGCTTGGTTTAGTGCCCTAATGACCACTTCCCTTTAGATTAGTTTAACGGAGAACTTAAGAAACGTCGGGCTCGGCTTAATATGTTCACGGTCTGCGCTGCTTGATTTTATTATTGCCGTTCTTACGCTGCGTAAACATTGGCCATTGTTTCTTTAAATTTAAAACGGCGTAGTCACTGACAACTTCAGAAACTCAGGGCGTTTGTACACCGAACTTGCCGAACTTCGTCGAACCTCCGGTTCGAAAAAACGTTTGCAATACCCCTCGTCCTAAAGTCCTCCGATACTTTAATCTTAAAATCCCTCCATTTTTCCCTCCGCCCCAGTCTTTTACAGAGGGATCGTCCGCGAGCTGTTCTCGGCCGAGTTTACCTTGCGAGTGATGGGCACCACGGTGGTGCTTCTGACGGCCCTGGGCTACGCCGTCTCGACGAAAGCTCGCGCCATCTCGTGGCTCATCGTGCCGTTCCTGTGCGGCCGGGCAGGCCGCACCATGCTCGTCACCGCCAGTGTCTCCATCGTCCTCAAAGGTGACCACAATGTTTCCGGTACAGCTGCTGAGAACACCGTTTCGTTGTTGTCGTCTTTGTAAAACACACCCTTCAATCTAAAAAAAAAACAAAAAACATTTGGAGCGTTTATTTTCTTGCATAGCACTTTGATGGCCAATCGCAGGAGTCCACGAGAGGAGCTCGGAGATTGACGTGGCTGAAAATATGTTTAGACCTACAAAAGTCGCCCCTTTGCCGTACTAGCGCGTGGCAAAGGCACTGGTAACGCATAACCCAGGAGCGCGCTCGTTTCAGTAAGCAGAGCGCCGCAGTATGTCTGGACCTGTGATGTTTTGTCCCCCTGCGGGAGTAACACCGATGAGCTCGAGGAAGACGTTCGGCTGGTCTCCACCAGAGGGGGAGACGAGCGCTGGCGTTCGTGCTCGGCTGGCACTCGGCTTGTCGACTGCAGTTCCAGCAGTCGTATGACACACTGTCACAAACCGGCTGCGCTCTGAAACTGCGCATGGTAAAACGCCATGCATAGTGTAACAACGAGAACTGTTTTTTGTATTTCTTTTCTTAGGTTTGTAGGTTGCAGCGTTTAGCTCGCCCAAGAGCTTTGCAGATAAGCACAGGGTGTCCCCCAAAACAGTTTGCAGGGTTGTTTTAACCGCAAAAATGCACTATATATCGCCGAATTCTCATTTTCCGCCCGAGTGTAGCGCTAGATGTCCGAACCAGATGACAAAGTTTCAGCACTAACCGATATCTTAAGAAAAAGTTATGAATAATTTTCTGAAATTTTTAGTGGAAAGGATGGGGACGATGTTCGCCTGTTTTCGGTTTCTGGCGCCAGAGAGTTCCATGGGTTCGAGAGATCCTTCGGCAGCCATTTTCCCATTGAAATTTTCAAAAAATCACTTTTAACTTTTGAATAAGACAGCGGTTAGTGCTGAAACTTTGGCATCTCGCTCAGACCGCTAGCGCTGCATTTGGGTGGAAATTGAGCGTTCGGCGGTGTGTAGTTTATTTTTGGAACAAAAAAAACAACAAAAAACTTGTAAAAATTTTTGGGATTTTGTTTTGTTTATATATTTATTTTTATTTTTGGGCGCCATTGTTTTACCGTGGGTATAAAATAAATGCGACAATGTTATGAGCGACCATTTGTGAAAGAGTATGCGTACATTTGATCTCGCAAATGGTGCAAAACCTTCAGTTTGTCTGTACGGTGACATGGAATGTTCCAAGTCTATCTGATTGATGGCGCCAGTCTGTCAGTGTGTTCCCTCGTCATAATGGTTGACAAGCGGGCGTAACGCCGTCGGTCGATTCCTCAAATGGCAATGTGCGGATCAGCCTTTAACAGATGATGCCCCCCAGGTCCTGTGGAGAACATGATGACCAACAGTAAGGTGGCCGTGGATTCCTTCCTCTGCCTGGGACGCTTATCTTACAACCATACCAAGGAACGACTCCTGCTCATGTACAAGCCCATAAAACGAATCATCTGGGATTTCGATGTCAGTATCATCGAGCCTCAATGGCCATCCCGACAGGGAACGTCATACGTGTTCCTCTTGTCATTTTTGTATACCATTTCAGGAACAAGCTAAAGTAATTCACAACGAAACCTCAGGCATCGACAGCAATGTGAAGCCCATTGAAAAGGAGGTAAGCAGCTCGCCAAGAAAGATATCGCGATAAGGTTGTTTTTCTGGATATAAATAACACATGAGGGTCGAGTTACCCATTGTGCTCGCACCGACAAACACGCATATTTACCAAGAAAAAAAGCATAAGTACTATAGTCAGTGAGCGCGTAACAAATGCCGGTTGCTGCTTATTTGTACTCTTCTTAAACGTAATACGTTCTACTCCTTTTCTCTCAGCTAATACCTTAAACTCATTGACTGTGGGGCGTTAATAAAATGCTCAAGAGCCGCCACGCCTTTCATTTTTTTTTTATATAATTGTCGGTGACTGTTATATATTACGCCCGATGATAGTGATACGGATATCGTAAACCCGATTCACCACGCAGCGCGTAAACTATCGCGATTTGTATTTGCGTGATTTTTTTTTAACCTGGAATTTAAGAAACGTCGTAACTACGAGTGTTCTTCAATCACCAGATGAGCGACAGCATAATGCTGACCTGTTAAACATGTGTGATCGGATTAAGTTCTCTATATGCACCCTTTGAAAAAAAAAAAAATCTGGCCGTAAAAGAATTTTTAGAGGTTTTTTGTCTTTAGCATATTTTTCACCTCTAAAAAAAAGTTCGTTTAAGCACGCCATAAAAAGTTTCTTCGTGAAAAACCTGCCGGTTTCTTTTAAGCTCCCTTTTTTATAAGAAAAAGCTTCTCATTACCCAGTTGCCTTTTAGTGCGCCAAGGGCCGAGGGTGCTCGAGGCGCAACCGTTTTTTACGAGCTGAAAGAGTTCTTGTGGCGTCGAAGATCCTTTCGTGAACGGATTTTTTTACAATGTATAGTTACAGACAGAGTAAAAGAACACAGAACGAGGAGGGTTCCTAGCCCCATTTTATTATAGCTCTGCACTCAATAGCGCTACTAAATTAGCCAATCCGAACGCCGAAGAACAACAGAAAACGCTTCACACACACAAAAAAAAAACCTATAGCTTTGTTTAGTTCGCAATGCACCGAGGTGCATTCGGCATTCAGCTGGGCTTTGTTTCTGAGGATGTCAATCTCCAAGCAAGGGTGTATTTGGCAACGCCACCTAGAGCTAATCGGCAATGCCTGTGAAGTACCTCCTCTTTTTTCGCGGAAAGTCAACACCCTGGCATGGCTCCAACTCAACGAATGGGCCCGAGCCCGATTCTGAGAGTCCTTCAACACATCGATTCGACACGGGACCCAGTCTAACGTTGATGCAGCACTCGTGTGCAATCTTTGTCTGCGCTTGATCTCAATGTGAAGACGTCGAAATGCTAGCGCGCAGAGACTTTGATTATTCTAGGTTGTGCCCTGGCTGGGGGCTTCTCCCCCCCTTTCTGTGACGTCAGTAGAATTCTGCCCTCGTTACAAGAGAGGTCAGTTTTGTTTCGAATAATTCGTGTTTTGGAGCCTCGTCCGCAGTTCTTTATATAGCAACGGACAATGATCAACGCCCGTCTGAGCGGGAGTCTCGTGCAGGTCGAAAGCGACGAGGAAGCAAAGGCTATGGAAGCGGACGCCGACTACGTGGACAAGGTGTCCGACTCGGACTCGAGAACCAAGCTGGTCGAAGAGAAATACAAAGAGCTGCAAAAGGAGCTCGAACGGGACAAGGACATCGAAGCCAATTACGGAAAGAAGCTGGAACTCCGCTGCGAAGGCGAGTCGTCTACGATACTCTTTTCTAAAGTCGGAGCCACAGAGTGGCGGTCTCAAAAATCTCCTATAGTTAAGACCTAATGGCGGGGATCAGAATAGATCAAGTAACGTCAGTTTCTGGAGTTGTAGACGACGTACAAGGGTCAACTTGTCAGAACCAATTCCCCGCCTTCGCTTTCGAAGGCGTTCGCGCTTCCTTGTATGCCGAAGCTGTATGACGCCATTAAAACCTCAGGTTTGGCTCTGGACAGAATGGATAAAAGTTTTGAAAAACAAAGTCGACTGATTTTCGCTGGCTTCCTAACCTAGATTCGTCGCTATCAAGCGCGGGGTGAAAGCAAGCTTTTGCAGCATTTTCTCAGCGTGCACGCGCGACAATGTCGGGCCTGCCCTTCGCTACAGATGCTAAACTGAGAGCTCGTTCTGTGCACGCGCTGTGAACAATATGGTCAAACATGACGTCCACTGAATACAACCTTTGAGTGTGCCAATGCTTTAGCACAACGCCGCTCGTAGCACGTGGCGTGAATGCTCACGTTGCAAAACCCAGTGAATCTAGTTACTCGGAGTTAGGTTAGGTTAGGTAAGGATAGGATAGGTTGGGTTATGTTAGATTAGGACCGGTTCGGTTTCGTTAGGTTAGGTTAGGTTAGGTTAGATTTGTGATGCACGCTAAAAACCCCAGGCCGGCAGTCGTACTGCGCTGGCTTCATTTCTTCTGCTGCAGCGTTCGCCAGTGTCGTCGAGATGTACACCGACATTGTGGCATCTACATGTATGACGGGGAATTCTGTATGGGGACAAAAGAAGTCTTGTTTACATATAGAATACTGTCCACACCAGCACGAAGTGTTGTAATTCGTATTCCATGTTGCCAGTTAGAGTCTCCTCAGCAGTCGTGCTGAATTTGACAAATACGTGGCCAATATGCGCTTTTGAAGCAAAACCGCCAAATCTCAAACGCAGTCCGACTTTCCGCGAAAGGAACGTTCACAACGTAGAAAATGCACTATAGAATTTAAAAGGCAACTGTACTAAAATGGCGAGCCTCCATGGTGTGATAGTTTGGAGTAAGGTTTTATAAGTTTAGCTGCATCACTGAAACTAGAAAATTAACGGAGCTTGAACCTCAAAGTTTTACGTCTCAGAATTTAGTCTATCTTTGTCTCATTTTTTCACCAACAGGATGTTCATAAGTCATTGATTCTCAGTACGTCACACCCTCTTTCGGTCCTTTTCCTCTCGAGAAAGAGAAAATTATATTACTTGTGCTGGGACAAAAAACGAAAAAGAAGAATGCGCTGGGGAAGTGGTTGGGGTTACCCCCCTTTTCCTTCTCCCAGCCATTTTTTTTTTTTTTTGTATTTAAGAGATATTAAACATGTGTAATCTAGAACTTTTTTTTTTTCTGATTAAGACCATGCACAAAAATTGATTAATCCTTTTCGGCATTGAACGTTGAAAATTATACACAAGATATGCGTTTGTTTTTCTTTAACTTTTAGATCAAGCGGTCCTTGAACAAGCCAAGCAAATGAATTTCTGGAATATTTCATTTTCTTTATTAAAACGAGTAAGAAAGCTACTTGAAAACAAATATAGGTAATACTAATTATAGGGTATAGTCAAACTTCCCTGACATTAAACCATAAAAATCATTTACCAGCGAAAAAAAAAATATTATATGCTTCGTGGTCAGAGGAAACGTTTGGTTTTTCTTTACAGAATACATCCGAACCTACCAGTTGATATCGCCTCATCGAATATCAAGCTCAGCTGATGAAAATATTAACCTCATATTTTAAATTAAAATATAAAGGGGAAAAATAAAAAAAAAGAAGAAGAGAGACTGAGGACTTTGTGTTTTACAATACCTAAGAGACAAACTTTAATTATTTTCAGGCATCTTTTCTCAAGGCGTTCGAGGCTGCAGACTTGCCTTTCGTGCTGCCGAAGACCGATGTTTTCAAGCGTTGTGGGTACTCGGCTACCTTCTCTGCTGGCCAATGAAACTGACCATTTTATGCCACGTCGTAAGCAGTGAGTGTCCGATTATTGTTGTTACTTCCAACAGAGCCTCTGTGCAATCATATATAAGTAAATTAACTTCCAGAAATTTTGCCACGCTTTGAGAAGATAATTCATCTCGTAGAGCACATCCTAAGTGCCGCTGGATCCACAAGATGACATTACTGTAAAATACCGTGCAAGCGCCCACTCAAAATTTCGAGATAAATATTAAAAAAATTGGGGATGGGCGCTTGTCCGGTCATCGATTTTACATATAAATGTACTGTGTATATTTTCTCAGAGCTTACAAATTTGAGAATGAGCGCAAAATGTGGTATGGGTGGATTCGCGGTATTCTACGGCAGGTCGAGGGCCTGAAGAGCCCGTGTATCCATATACGAGGTTTTCTTGATTTTGTTTGACAAGAAATAAGGCCGACTGTAGCTTTTCGATTACCACAGCGCTTCAGTTTGTAATCTTTAACTTTGACGAAGGCTTACGTTTTGTTCGAAGTATAGAATGAATATTTAGAAGCTTGTTTTTTTTAGTGGAAATATTCTTAATCTTAACAAACCTTAAACATTGCTATACGGTAACTAAGCAGAGCTTTTTTTTTTACATCTTTCTTTAGCATTTTTAGGGAAACGAACATGCGACGGCTTGCAGCCAATAAACACCGGCTTCGGCGAGAGCATCTCGGTGATGGAGTCGGTCAAACAGGAATTCGACAAGAACTTCAAGGTCAATGTTCAGTATAAGGTAGCATAATCTTTCATCGTAGAGATCGTGTGTTAATCAAAACAGCAAATATGTTTTGACCTAAAAAAAAACACCCTGTGCGGCGGCACTTTCATCGTGTTTAGAGGCACAACGCAGGTCGTTATTTTATGGCTAAACATACTTTAAAAGGAAGCTGAAGAGGTCCCTGACTGGGAAAACAAAAACTAAAAGCTTTAATGTAGGCGCCCTAAAATGCATGTCTTAAGTTGTATCTTGCTCTTATTAGCAGGAGCGTCGTAATCGCCAAAAAAAAAAAAATCTGACGTGGCTTCGCCCGTTGCTGCACGTCGAGCTCAGGGGACCGCGAAAGCGGAAAGAAAAGCGACCAGAAGTGACGTCATCGTCGGGGTCGGACGACCCTTGCTTGCCACTAAGCTGGTGCGGGGATGCAGGCGATGACGTCACGACCCTTTGGACAGGTAATGGACGACAGGGAGGTTCTCAGCATGACCTGTGACAAACTCTACACGTATTTTGCAATATAAATGCTGTTCACGTGTGCCTCTGCCCAAGTTAGGTGCGATTACTGAATTCACGGGACGAAAAGCTATTCGCAACTTCAGCCGACCGCTCGCCCTCTTGCGGATGAGCGAAGAACCAGAGAAGTGGGGACGGCGGCGGAGATGGTGGCGAGGACTGTCGGCCTTTCTGCTGCTGTTCCGGCCGGCGTGCTTGTGGATCACGCAGTTTTCGCGAAAAAGCGAGTGCATTGAAAGAGGATTCGTTGTGGTCCGCTTTGCAACAGCGTTGCACGAAGGGACCGGGATGTCTCTTTTCATTAGGGGCTTTTAGTAGGTCGCATACGCTGCGGATATCCGGTCCTGCGGTCGCAATCACAATCTTTGCTCAACGTGACGTCAAAAGCTTAATTTGCTAGTGCAAAGTTCTTGCGTACGGTCTACGAAAAGTCTATTCTTTCCAGAGAGTATGTGGCAGCACTGGTGCTCAACTGTGCATTGAGTGATGAACATCGGGAACGTGTTCGCACTTTATGCGCTGAAAGGTTGTGACAACGAACACCACAGTTTGCTCCACGTACTTTCAAAAGACAGACTACGCGTACCTGCTGTCAGTTAGTTACAAATGAAAAGAAATAAATTTTCGCAGCATTTTTAAGCGCGTGTGTGTGCCGATTGTGAGAAGTGAACCTCTCACATAAAGACATCAATACTGTGAACGCTGCTCTACCGAGCTTGACATTCAGCCCGCGTGGCTCACGTTTTGGAGCACTAATGACCAGGCACAGTGCAAACACCACGATATTTTCACCACCCACAAATATATTTTGCCATATACAATGACGTGACCGGCGCCCAAAACGCGCTCGCCCTCTGGAAAGCCTCAACTTAAAAACCTTAAGAAAGGAATTCTCGTTTGTCTAACACACGTTATCATCTTCGTCATCAGTTTACGTTCCTACCCCGACCGTTTCGCATTTGTAGCCATTTAAATTAATTTAGGCTCACGGACAAGCGTCATAAAGCCGGCGCATAGAAACTATTTCCCCGTCTCTTCCGCCATCTTGGAACAACCGTCAGATTTCTCGAAAAGTGCTTCACTTCTTTTCATAAGCCACGTCATTGGCCGAGTTCTCTCTGTGGATTACAGCAATTGGTTTTCTTAAGCGCTTCGCGGGAAAGAAGACACTGCAAATTTCGTGGATCGCTTATAGACCTTTTCCATTAATTCACGTCTCCAGCCACGTAGTTTACACATCCGGTATGTGCGACGAAAAAAGAAATTCCCATTACAACCTGCAACAATGAAAACTATATAACATTAGTAAAACAAGAAAGATTGACAGCCATGATAAAAACATGAACAACTTCCAGTTCACGAAGTTGTAGTTGTACTTGTTGGTGAACGTTATGAAGCATGGTGTAAGGAGCAAAAAAACAATGGACACAAGGACGCCTGTGCCTGTGTCTTATCATTCTGTAAGTTTTTTTTTTTTGTTTTTTTTTGTTTTTTGTTTTACACCATGCTTCGTACCTCATAGTTGCGTGGCAAGGGCAAGACGATGTCTTCCCCCACACCGGAAGTTCCGCGAATCAAGGTGGCGACAACCACGCAGAAAAGGCCTATGGGAGAACTCTTTAAAGAAATTTATTTATTTACGTATTTATTTGTCACTACCCACTTGGCATGATATGAGCATGCGAGTCATTGTATTAAGTGTCACACCCTTACCTTCGTTTCCTGGTCGAAACGCTTATCGTTCGGGCATGTCCTTTTCAGAAAAGCGCGCTAACCACGCGTCGATTCCGACAGGTAATTCTACCCGAGGACGCCATCAACGTGATCACGCCCGAAGACCTCCAGAAAAAGGTGAACAGTGAATTCGAGCACCGCAAGAAAGGAATTGGCCTCCTCTCGACGCTGCTGAGTCAGGTGTTCGCGATAGTCGTCGCATCGGCCGTACTTGAGTAAGCTCCTCACAGTTCTTTTTTTCTTTTCTACGCTGAAATGCTACTCTCTCATAAGCTCCTGTACGTACAGACTATCCCACAATTCCCTCGGAACACTAACCATGCTTGATAAAGTGCCAGCTGAACGTTTTAAGGACTCACACACAGAGACGAACAAAAAGGCAGACACACCGCTGGCTTCTTCGTCTCTGTGTGTGTGTCCTTAAAACGTTCAGCTGGCACTTTAACAAGCATGAACCAACTATAAGCCGTCACTAATCAATCGTGCAGGGTGTGGCGAGTCTTCCGCATCTCATTATCCCCCCGCAGCCAATGAGATCGCCGCATTAGTACCCAAGGACCAATCACGAAGCAAGAATCGTGAACATAAAAAGCCACAACCTCCGTTTCTTGAGCTGTCAGTTGCTCTAGTTGACTCTAAGCCACAGTGGTAATGGCCACCGTGGAGTATAACGGCAAGGGCGACGTTGCTAGTAGGCTCCAAACCAAAACTATTTCAAAGGCGCTACGATTTTATTGGCGCTGAAGCGATGACGGTGTTATTAAAGGAAATTTTTCGCAATTCTTCCTAATACCTTGTTTCTCTATCTGCTTGTTGTATTTTCTATCAGGGCCAGAAACTACGTCGATAAATACCTGGACGACGTGACCTTCGATAACCGTTACATTACGGAATACTTCGGTAAAATCGACGATAGACGCGCAAGAAATGTAAGAAATGGAACTTCAAAGAAACGTTGGATGGCATTGCCCATGCATAGCCTCCTTTATTCTAGAAAGCCTATCAAATAGCGAGAAAAAAAAAACGTGGCCGCTCTAAAGGGGAAAGGAGATAAGAGAAGAGGGCACGCGCAGGGGCTCTGCCAGCGCCAAAAAATTCCCCAGCGGCAAAACCGGAAACACAAACACGCTGCCTTTTACTTTTGCTTTTTTTTTTTTTTTAGCAGAATAAAACATTTTGCGTCGACCTCCTTCTATTCCGACCCTTCTTCTTCCTCCGTCACGGTTTGCTGTTTCGCGGAAAGGCCACCGCGCGTAATTGGCGCTGGCTGAAGGGCTAGCCTAGAGTTCCTGTATATGCTACCTACGGTAGCAGAGTTGCGCATTCAGCTTCGGCGCGTGGCCGTAGAGCCGGCTTTCCCGCAAGAGATGGATGCTTTGCTCCTCACGTGACTAAATTTGGCGAATAGCGGCGCCGCGCGCGCCGCCGCGCATGGAAAACAGGAGAGGAGGAAAAGGAGGCGGAAAGCAGGGAAACATACGCCGGGGCAAGAGAAACGTCGGCGGAGCGACCGTAAAGGTGGCTTTCTTGCACGCCACCGGATGCCTTGCTCCTCACGTGACGGATCTCGGCGAATAGCGGCGTGGCGGCGCGGGGAAAACAAATGCGCAACTCTGGCTCCCGTAGGGAGCCTATACAGGAACTCTAGGCTAGCCCAGAAGTGCCTCTGCGGTACTATATGGGTAACCGTTTGGCGCTGCTCCTCACCTATATCCGGCGGTCGCGCGTTCAATGGCTCCGTCGGGGAATTGACAAACATTCGGGAAGAAAGGAGGTTATGGCCCATGTTATTCAATTGTTTTGCTTTCTTTCAAGGGCCTCATTACGCTATTACCTCTCAAGAGATACGAGGCTATAGACATCTACGACCCACTGGAGTTTCGTATGTCCAGAAAAGAATACTCAATGGTGGTAAGCCTTCCTTAGTACACGACTGCGTACCAAGACAAATAATCACAAATGCAATGAAACAATAGGTAACAAACGAACTTGCGAATACTTGAATCCAATTCAATGTGCTGTCTTTTCAAAAATATGGTGCGGGATAAATTACTGTCGTGTTTTCGATTGATTGAATCCTCGCGTGCGTTGGATTTCATTCGAAACCTAGAAGATTATACGGGAATGCGCTGTATGGCAGCATGTTCTTCAGTGGTCAACGGGTTTAATAAAATTACTTGATTCCTTAATTACTAAGAAAAAAACAAAATGTATCTCTTCTCAATGATCGATGTCCAATGTACGGAAGCAAAAATCTAATAACCTATTTACCTATGGGTTTGTTGGCTGAAGATTTAATTTTGAATAGTCTGGTAAACGTTTACAGCAGCACCGCGTCTCATGCATAATTCACTCCAAGAAATCAGCCGTGTCTAGCTTCCTGCGAAGCACATAGGAGAGCAAATCGCTGCAAACCGCGGAGGGAGCTTTGCGGGAAACGAGGCTGAAAGTATGTTAAGACCCTAAAAACATTTGCGCTGTGGCACTGAGCATGACGTAAGCAAATGAAAAGGCATGTTCAGTGTACAACGCAGACTTCATTTTCAGGTGTAGATATTATTTCAGCTTTGTCGTCCGCCCACCGTCCCATGTAAATATCATCGATCGGCTCTGCCGAGTGTTTTGCAGAAAAGTAGACGCACCGGACTTTTTAAAGCGTAGTTTTATTGGCTTATGTGGGTATTACATTGTAATGTATTCGAATGAAAAATAAACAAATACTCTAATGTATTGCATTTAAATGCCGTTCTGCAGATGCGAGGAATAGGAGGCGAACTGGTTCACGTCGTCTTCGGGACTATAATGCTCGGTCTGGACTCCCTGATCTACGACGTGCTAGATATTATCAGGCGCAACGCCGAGGTTCAGTTTGTCCAGGAGGGTAAGTAGTGTAAATAATTTGAATGATAATATAAAAGCGCTGTTCCTGTATTTTTTTTAGGGCGAAGGACTTATCTGTTTTATTACGCAAAAAAGCGGCAGTCACGGTTGTGCCCAAAAGATGCATGGTCACACCAATCCGTCATCAAGAGCGCGCCTCAGAAATGAAACACAAAGAAAAGCACAGCAACGCAGATGCTTAGTCACGGAAACCGGCGGGGGCGCTCAAGGTCATAGCGGAGGCGCCTCAGAAATAAAACACAAAGAAAAGCACAGCAACGCAGATGCTTAGTCACGGAAACCGGCGGGGGCGCTCAAGGTCATAGCGGAGGCGCCTCAGAAATGAAACACAAAGAAAAGCACAGCAACGCAGATGCTTAGTCACGGAAACCGGCGGGGGCGCTCAAGGTCATAGCGGAGGCGCCTCAGAAATAAAACACAAAGAAAAGCACAGCAACACAGATGCTTCGTCACGGAAGGCGTCGTGAAGCCGGCGGGGTTCGCGCACCTGCGCAATGAGGGAGCGTAATGTCCCCGCTAAAGAGCCGTGTCAAAAAAAAAAAAAAAAAAAAAAAAAAACGTGGCGCGCTGTTTGTAGGATTGCGCTGCGCGAACGAATGCTTTCGCATTCCTACACGTAAGCAGTCTTAAGTGTATCTGCCAAATTTTTTTTCTACAACTTTCCAGGATATTTTTCTCCTTCTGCCGAAGTCTCGCGTTAAATTCATCATGGTGAACTTCCACCAGCTCAAATGCGCGCTGACTGCATTTTAGATAAATACATTTTTTCTTAACGTCTCAAAGAGGAAGCAGAAGAGTCATTTCCGCATTGCTCGAACATGCAGGAAACAGTGTTCGTCGACAAGCAAAGAAAAACAAAGTTTGGTTGGTTTGTTGGTGGAAACAATATCCTGGTTTGTACGCTAGTGCAAACGACGAACTCGTGAGAATAACCAATTGCGTCATATGAAGTCAGAACCCGTTACATACAAACATTATGTGATAAAACGTACCGTGTTTTCAAATGCCACACGAACGCTTGTTATAGTTGAAAACGCAACATGTGAACTTCTTTCGGGTGACAGGCTACCATCGGATAGCGATGCAAGTGTTTGGAACGGGAGCTGTGAGCAATCTGGTGAGGAAAGTCTTCAAGGATTTCGACGTCGAAGAAAAGTTGGAGAAAATAGCCAGCAACGCACGTGCGTACCATTCCACATAATCGGCATAGTAAAAGAGGAACGGAAACGAAATGATCTGAGCGCGAGCTCTCTACTCTTCGCTTGAAAGCCGGGCAGCTATAGGGAGTATTCACTGGCGGCCATAGCTGTGTGCGCGAATGCTGAGCGTGTGCTGACGGCGAGCTTCCACAGTTCTTATGCAACGTGCATTCCGCACCATCAAGACTGCCGGTCTTAGCAACCTATTGGTGTGGGCTCGTTCTGAGCATGGGCTCTAAATAGCACCCACAAATATGGCGTTTAGTGAATACTCCCTATAGAAGCGCAATGCGTATCGCGCTCGTGGTGAAGTCAATAGTTCCTGCATGGCCAAGGATGCCAAGGGTACTGTAGTCGCGTGAAAATCTCGCCTAGGAGTAATACCTCAGGACTATACGTCCTTTGGGGTATACACCATTCCAATATTTACAAGTCCTCATCCCAGCGTACGATCTCCTCAACCCAGCACTCGGATGTACGTCGCTTTACAAAGCGAGCAAATCACGCGCCATACACAAGAACAATAAAAATGGAACTGACCAGGTGACCTTTTTTGGAAAGATCTATAGTTCTATACATAGCTTTCCCATAACGTCATTCGCCGCCATGCCGGTATTTTATGTGCCGTGAGCGTTCGGTTCACCGTGTTAGTCTCACACCGCAGGAGTAGTAGCTTCAGGGAACCGGTAAGTAGAAATAACCGTCAATACCCAGCAATGGCGACACCTGCAAGCTATGTATAGAAGGTATTCACTGGGTGCCGTATTTGGACGCAATATTCACAGCGTATCCGGGGGAGGGGGGGGGGGAGGGGTATCATGGTTGGCCTGTCAAAGGTCCCAGCATTTTCGGATCAAGCTCCTACCTAACGCCTGTGAAGAATGGCGACTTTGATGGTGTGAAATGCACGTTGCGGAAGCACAGTTGGAGATTTAAAGGGGACATAAAACGATTTTTCTACTTTCGCTAAATAGTACTTAGAATCCCTTCCTAACGTTAATAACTGAATAAACTTGCCTTAGGTTTTCTTTCTGTGCAATGGCAGTCGGCAAATAAATTCGAGAAATATGAGCATCGTTCATCACCTTACCTCGGAACCAGAACAAGCGGCCACATGGCCTGGTGCCTGCCCTATGCCGCCAACGTTAATCAAAACCACGCGATGGGGTTGGCAAGGTAGAAAACACGTACTGAGCTGCAAGCATTGTTAGAGTGCGGCTATTTTCGTCAACGCAGTGGTTGGACACGACCCAAGCGTCCGCCGAGGCATTGATTATTACGAGCCGAAGTCGACTGCATACACAGTTCTCGTGTTTAATCCATGAAACGCGCTTGATTGTCGTCAGGCGGGAGCTTTCGATCCCAAAATTGCGTCACCAAGCTTTGCGAAGGCAAGACTGAAAGAAAAAGTCACCGTTTATCCTCGCAATTTTACCGCGACCATGAAGCTTCTGAGTCAGTGGCGGTCTGTGCGAGTATACTTGGACCAGACTAGGACCAATACGCCTCTGTAAAGTCATGAACGCTTCATCTCGACATCGTTTCATGACTCCTTTAACATCTACAACATAGTAAACGCGTTAGCGTTCTCGGCCAAATCACCTTCAGGACTAAGTAACTCAACGAGCGAGCCATACTGCCGCGAAGTGGCACTGCTCTTTAGGAACTCATGACGTGACGGCATTCCAACGAAGCTTCACAGACCGACACCAGACGCAATTTCGAAATCTCTTTATTTGTCTTAAAATTAGTTTTCTTTACTGTTCTGGCGGCAGTCCAGAAACACTTGTCTAGACTAGTGTTTCTGGACTACCGGCAGAACATAGATCGCATCTAAACAAAGAAATAAGTGCAAACATTTCGTTTCCGTGCCCTTTTCAGTAACGCATTCTTTTAGGGAAACCGAATTTGCTTAGCATAGTTTCCCGTGCACAGTGCCTTTTCATTACAAAACGCCAGCACATATTGTCCCTGATGTCATACCAGCGCGACGCTTTGATTGGAAGAAAGCGTTTAGAGAAGGACGATGCCAAACTCGAGACCAGTTGGTGTTCTAAAATTAAGAACAAATTGACCCATGTTTTGAAGTGGATGAGGGAGCTTGGATGTTGTCTGATATGTATACTGTTGCCTGCGGCTTTGCAAGACCAAAAACTTAACATAACATTAAAAAACTACAAACTACGGAAAGCTGAAAAACAGCCTAAACATTCAGACAGTTGTGGGGCTAGTGAGGATGCATATGACACAAAGGGGTTATCTCTATCAAAAGTTACAAGCTTGCTTTGTTTTTATCTGAGATCTTGTTTATTGCTATTGGGGAGGCAGGCACGATAGGTAATCCTCTTAAACTGTAATTTGTACTCAAATATTCGTGAAAAAAAAAACCCGTTCGATATCAGCAGGTAGTCTGATAATCAAAGTATAAGGCACACGTTTATCGTACTTATATAAACTATACCAGGAAACAATAACCACATTGTTACCATTACCTTAAAGCGACAGATTTTTTAGTAATGCCTTCCCGGCCAATCTTGAGCTCCAAGACTACGTATGTACAGATATATTATTTAATAACCACACGCGTGCCTCGCCCATTTCTGCAATTCAGCCTCTTTATAACGAAATTTTTGACCCCGATATGGACATGTAAGCTGAGAATTTCTTTAGAAAAGTAAAATGTTTCTAGCATTTGGTGTTTTTTGTGTTGCTTGATTTCGTTTTATTTTTTAAGAGTATAATCTCTGCTGTAGAACTTTAATGGGAACGTATCGGGTTATATCGTTTTGATAGTAATGCTCTTACTCTGTGAGCCCGAAACAGTTCAATGGTTTAATGTATTGGGTCAGTGCTTCGGTTTATGTTCTTAAAGTGTTCCAATATTTCGGCTCATCTGGATGTTTTGGACGCTATAAAAAACAATAAAGTAATACTAGTATAGTCACTGCCACTGACTGTTATGTGCTTCCATACAAAGATGTTAGAGTTAACTGTGTGTTTTTGCAATGTAGACTGCCTCCCAAAACCAGTGAAGACGTCACGGTGGCTGATCGCCCGTCTTTATCTTGTCTACGCTGCCATGATATCACTGGTGATCGCCGAGCTATTTGTTTTGAGATTCAGACGAGTTGTCTGCGCCTATTTTTTCAGAAAGGTGAGCGCTGTATTCGCATAAGATAATTCTGTTGTGTGAACGCTTAGATCGCGGAAATTATAATCAGCCATAAAGGGCGTCTGGTGTCTCCGCTGTATGGTGAGACATTTCGTCAGTGCAGTACCACCGGTACCCAGGAGTCTTCAACGGTTATCACGCTGTAGCGATTACACGACCGCACGCCGGTACGATGCTCATCCACATCAAAAAAAAAAACGCTGGGAATTAAATCTAGGATCCGTGGGTTGCGCAGCGCGAGCTTTATTCGCCCCACGTGATCCGAGTTGCGGTGTGTTAGGGCCCAGCGATCTCCTTATGTTTACTTTGACTGAAACAAAAAATGTCAACTTATTTCTGCGAAGCAATTATCACGCTTCTCTCGCTCGTTTCTGTTCCCAGCAGCGAAATCAACAATGAAACGTGTGCGCCACGTAACTGCTTGATCGTTTAATATATACTATGATATTGGTTTATGTACAGTGGTGGAAACAGTCAACGAAGCCACAGGAGCGTGCTGTCTGGAGCTACACGTGTGCGTTGCGCTGGCGGCAAAAGGATCCACGCGAGCCGGGCGCAGGCCGGTCGCGAGATTAGCGGCTATCAACGTCCGCTTATCCGGGCTTGCTTTTCATAGCCAGCCATTAAAATAGATTAGTGCTATCGAACATAGCAAGGCCGGACAGCCGGAGGGTGATAGCCATTAATCTCGCAACAGGACGGCGCCCCGTTCACTGTACAATATGTTCGTCCACTTACGCAAGGAGTATTCTGCGCCCACGATTGAAGACAAGCAAGCCAAGACCAGATACGATTAAAGTTTACTTTCTTATATTCTCTTTGTTTTCCACAAGTTTATACGTAGACACTGATAACTTAAGAACGCAGGGCGTTGCCAGTCTGGGACAGCTTAATATAGAAGCCCAGTAGCCAATCTACAAAGTGGCCAACCAGTAGCCAATGCGATTGCAGCATTAGCCGATAAAGACGCTCAACAACGAGTCACGAAGCTAGAATTGTGGACATATGCTAAGCTATGCATTTCATAAGGTGTCAGTGAGTATAGCATATTAATGGTTACGAGATTGTAACTATAACCGGTTGAACTACATTGCATCTTGTAATTCGAAAAATATCAATGCCTATTTTTTAGTTTCTTTTTTTTTTTTTAAACATTAAGCGTTTTATTTAGTCACTGCGAGTATCTCATTACTACTACCCTCACAGCAACGTGTACGATACTATTACTGTAATTTAATAGCAGTGGCCTTAAACGTATGATTGATCGATCGCATAATTTAATGAAAAGTAATGAAGTGAATCTGTTGTTTTCCGTTTTCCAAAAGAGAGAGAAGAAAAGGATCATTCACCTGTACAACAAAACGCTCAAGAGGAGGGTGGGATACATCAAGTACGTCCGTCATAGGATCCGGCGGCTCGTCCGAGAGAGAGAATTCGACGTACGTATAACTCGTGAACGCCTTCATCAACCCCATCATAATCGCGCAGCATGCAAATTCGACTCCAGTTATAGAACTGACGACGTCACAGATGTGTCATGCTATCGCCGACCGCGATCCTGGCGGTATCGCAGCAGCGGCGGTAGATGTGCCAGACGCCTGGTCGCTGCTGTGTCGATCTCCAGCTTGAAAGTCCACAGACGCTTCTGCAGCCCAGAGTTGTGATGGTGCGATGAGAGCGACACCCGCGTTTGCTCGTGCTTTTTTCCGGAACTTTTACGATCAACCGTTAGGATCGCGACATCCGACAGCATGACATTCCTTTTTTTTTTTTTTTTTTTTTACGTCACTTGTTTTTCTTTCTGAACCACTTTGTCCAAGCCTATTGGCTGCTTGGTAATAATAAGATTATCTGGGCTCGCCACGCCCTGCGTATCTTAAGTTATTAGTGACTACAGCGTCCTTCTCCTCCGCAGTGGGGTGATGTATAGATCGTCCTATTCGCAGCTCGACGTCGGTTGGTTCGAATTCGTCCGCAAGATGGCTCCACGCGCCTACAGGCTTCTGCAGGTCTTGGGACTCGCTCACCGAAGGGTGTGTCTCGTGTGCGACGACCCCGAAGACTCTGATTTCTACGTTTGCACGACCGAAGTCTGCCAGTGCGTTTATTGCTTTCAGTGTTGGAACGAGATTGGCGTACGTATTTACCATGCTGCAATTAACTTTGGGATAGGCACACCTACGTAGTAACTGACGGGATGCAAAGGCAGGGGTGTACTTCAGTTTTCCGACCTCCAGTGTGAGCTTACTACCTTCGGTGCAGGTTCGGTGCCTCGTGAGCTTCTAACGTGTACGCGCAGTCAAGGCACCGCGGAATGAAACGAGCCCGTGCCGGAGGTCGGGCATCTGAAAGAGATGTCCTACATTTTAATGCGAAAGCATTAAAGCACCGATCTGTATAAGTATATCAATGTAGATATAAATTTTCCAGTAATTATTCCTTCGGAAGGTCACTTTTCCTGTAATTGTCTAGGGAGAAGCACACGAGTCTTTAAAAATAACTACCTTTAATTTTTCTCTCCTCTTTTTGTTTCTCGCAGAGGTGCTACGCGTGCGAGGAGTCACAAGAGGACGAGTCTCCGCTGAGTGACGAACTCGTCTAAAGCACCCTTTCAACGGCCTCTTTCATTCGTTCCCAGCGTTCGATTTCAAGCCTTCGTAAAATCACGGTGAATAGCATTAGACACAAAAAAGGGACGGATCAAAGGCATAAACAGAACACTCAAGTTCTGATGGAAGGTGTCGCTGACGTATGTATAGAGAGGGATGCACAGAAATAAACTGTAACATATTGAAAATGTCGGTGAAGATTGTGCACGCTGATTATGCTATAAGCCAACGAGCACACACAGGGGCGCCGCAGAGGAGCAAACACGATACACCAGCACTCGTGTGCCGTGTTTGGCGAGAAGCATTTGCAAGAATCGTGTCATTGCATACTTGGTTTGTTATCAGTATTTCAAGGAAGCGGCTCCTTTGAATCCAGAAAACTTGCTCGAATGTTAACACAAGACAATATTACCGTCAAGCACGATGTTCATCGCCCTTGTCGCTGGTCAAGCTCATTAAAATCCAGTCTATTATTCGAGCACCATGCACACAGTGGGCATTACGCACGCAGGTGTTTCCGAGAAACTGCATGGCTTTCGCTTTTTTTTTTTTTTCACAATACCCACAATTCCAAAACCTTGTTTCTCCGCCTGTCTTAGTGCTTCCCCGCTACATTTAGCGATAAAATTGACGTTCAGTGATCACCGTGACGTCACGTCACGTGACCACGTTCCATGACGTCATGTCACATACGAGTGCGTACGAGAATTTTCTAAATTTTGACCAAAGCGCTGAGCACACTGCTTGCATTAGCACCCTTTCATTTTACGGGAGAAAAAAAAGGGAAATTGCAGATCGATCGTTAGCCGCAACTGTGTCCAGACCGGTTGGGCCAGACGCCACCTACACAGGCTATCAATTCAGCACTTCGTGAGTTTTGATATTAGGGTCACTCTCGCGAAAATTAAACATTAATGTGACTCTCAGGTAACTTTCAAACGCCTTCCTCCATCATTCCTAAAATATAGTTTGTATAGCATAGCATCAGGGTGCCCTAAAAACAATTAAATATTCGGAAGTACTCATAATTAAGACTATTTTAGAAAAAATTCACTTTAGATTGCGTCCTATGAGTATTTCAGAATTTGTTTTGCATCTGCTAACCACCACAGAAGTTTCAAAGGCGTGACCTTTGTTTTAGCAAAGCAAACTTTTAAAAGTCTGATTTAAAAAATCGTACACCTACGTCAGCTCCAATTTACTATATGATCTCAGCGTCCATCTTTGCTAAAGTATTTATATCTTTAAGAATTTTAAAAAGGAACAAGTGTGACCGACTTGAATGTCAGTGGTCATGAAATGTATACAAATATATTTAAGAACATCTGCCAACCATACTCAATTTTTAAGTACGCAGACTGTTTAGCACGTTTTAACGAAAAATTTTCAACCAGAACGATTCACCTTTGGTCAAAATCTAAATTGTTATTAGCTTATCAATAAAATATAAATAAATACGTACATTTTTATGTGTCAGTGGTGTAACGGATATTTTATTTTCATTTATTCATTTTTTTATTATATCTCGATGACAAATAACTTGCAGTGACAAAACAGAGACCTTTCTGTGGTGTTGGAAATATAAAATTCAAACTGGCGAGTTTTTTTTTTTTTTTTTTTTATGAAAAACAAATTTGCTTGAATTGTCAATCGCCTGAAACTGATAAACCAACACCGAAAAAAAATTACAGTAGCAAAAACTTCCGGGTCACTTCGTCTGGTGTGATCGACGATTCACTGATCAAATTGCCTACAGTCGTAGTTTTGATTGTCTCTTTCAAGACTCTTTTTGCACAATATGTTTCTTTGGTCAAAACAACAGTAGATCTCCAATTAGGCAGGCGATCATTAATACGAAACGACCCGAAAGTTTTTGCTGCTGTAATATTTTTTTCCGGTGTCAATTTTTTTTTAGTTTTAGTGTGCAGCCTTTGTACGAGATGAGGGTTAAGCCGTGGAGGTTGTGTGAAGGTGTTGTGCGTTAAGTCCGATCTCGGGGTTTTGTGACAAGGGGCTTCGTTTGCAATGTAACTCTGTAGTTTAAAATGAGGTCAAGACGAGATGTACCCTGGCTGAAAGCCCTAGGGGCGTGGGCAGTGTCCGGGAGACGTGCGGGAGAGATGGTATACAAACGACTAGGCCAATAAAGTTTAGTAGCTGCGTTTGAGACGTCTTGTGTGTTGTCCCCTTTTTTCGCCCGTCGTCTCCGGTTTTCCAAGAAATGACTAACATCAACCAACTCGCCTGCCTGCTCGGTCCATCTTCTTGAGCGCTTTCTACAATATCTGTTGTTTACGACATAAATAACCATCTGGGAGCTCGGCAGTGTTCCCTATGAAAATAACAAATTGATTATTTATTGAGCAACATACGATAGTGAACTAAAGTCAATGTCGCCAAATTAACTTTTCGTGAACCTAAATGTCTAATCTCCGAGAGAATGAACCATTAAAAATATATATTTTAACTGCGACTCAGTATAATTGGTTACATTGAAACCAGTTGTAAGCATGCATTCGCTTTATTTTATACTCTCCTCGTGTTCACGGATACTGTTCTGTCTTCTGAAACCAAGATGTCGGCGGAGGCAGTGGAGGTGGCGGTGGCCAGTAAGCAAATGGTAGAAAGCTGGCTCCTACCCTACTCAGCACCGCGTTTTCTGGACTCTGAACACCGGCTGAGAAAGGATGAAAAGGACGAAGCTGTTGCTGAACGCCGCCTGAGAGTCCTGGGACGGCTTCCGAGGTCCTTGGAACCGATGTCTCGTCGACGCGGGCGTTGGACAGGGTAGCTGGCGGCCGCTCTCGCTTCTCTCGGGCCCTTCTGTTTTGGAACCATATCTTCACCTGCGCGAGAACGTGAAAAAGAAATAAAGAAGAGAGAGAGATATGGACATGGCTCATCCAAAACATTATTCGGGAATGGTAAATCAGACTAATGCGGAGCGAAAGTTCGTCTGCTTCTTTTGCCGGGGTTAGGATGACGTTAGAACACCTAGTGTGGGCAGTGCGCGCCCGCAAAAAACAGATTCTCGTGAGGCGAAGCATCTGCGCATGCGCAGTTCCGACAGCAGTGCCACCGCAATGGCGTGACGTCGAAGATTTGACTTGGTCCATAGGCGTAGACTTGGGGGGGGGGGGGGGCGCAACGGGGCTCGTGCCTCCCCTGGTGAAATCCGGGGGGGGGGGGGGGGGGGGGGGGGGCAGAGCCCCCCCGGGCCCGGGCCATGATCCTTACTGAGACGCTGTTTGCGTGCCATGTAACGAGCTTTTAGTAGCGGCATGTAAACAAAATAACGCGCACGTTGCCTTCATTGACAAAATACATGGGAAATGGAATTCCAGCGCGTTTTCGTTAGCTTCAATCTCCAGTTCTGGCGAAAAAATAATGCGCAGTACCCCCCCCCCCCCTCCACCCCCCGGGAGAACTCGGCCTGCCCCCCCCCCCCCCCCCCCCCCCGGGAAAATGTAAAGTCTACGCCGCTGACTTGGTCTATACTTTGATTTGAGTTGGTCTATGCGTCAAAGATATGAGTTGGTCTTTACAATCTACGGAGGGAGCATGGCGAATGGCAAGGCGAAAACCATGTTTAGGCACAAAAAACCGTCTGCGTTGTGGCACTGAGCATGATGTTTCGCGTGCTTACGTCATGCTTCGTGTCACAGTGAGAGCTACCAACAGTGAGAGCTACACAAGCGCTATGCTAAAACTGCCTACTCACTGTTGCTCCGCACAATCAACGGCACAAGTACGTTGAACTCCGCACGGAAAATGTTAACTTGACGACGTCCCATATTTGTCTGTTTGTTTATTTCTTGCGCGTCCGGTTGGTTGGCTTGTAGACGATGCCCACTAACTGCAACGAGCCCTTTCCGGCGATGCATCACAACACAGACGAAAAAGAGTACTGAAAGGTTAAGCGAGCGTGAACCTCGGATTCGCGTCGACAGTGTCGCCCACCCTACCCATCCCGTTCACCGAATCGACTTCCATTTCTACTTGGCCGAGCTGCGTAGCGCATTAATCGAATCGATGACATCTTGAAGAATCCGGTTGTGACCCTCAACGGCCAATAATATATAAATTCCAGAAGTCTGCTCGTCGTAGTACGGTCGACCGGCAAAGTGAGATTGACACGCCGATAGCTAACGAGGAGAAAGTTTCCCCCGTCTCGTTGCCATATATCTTTCCCCCCATCGCACGTTCGTATAATCCAATCGTGGCCTGAACTTCATCGGAGCGTAACCGAGTTACTCTGACATCCACTTATATCCGGACAATCTCTTTCGTTACCAATTCAATAATCGTAAAGCTTAAAACATTTAAAATAAAAACGAGCAAAGTTTCGGCGAGGCTTTGCCGATAACGAACGCTTTCGATCTTCGCTTGAATCGGGAGAAGCGATGCACGGTAAAAGAAGATGGCGTACGTCACGAGACGGAGCTGCGATCGCTTCGTGTTAGCCAATAGGCATCGTCCACTGACGTTGAATGCGTGGCCGGACTCTACGCCTTGGGATGAACCGGAGCTGATGAGGTGCAGGCCAAGTTGGGCCAATCACGAGGCGTGAATGTGCGACGTCAACGTATTCGCCGGTTACGGGAGCTGATCAGCTCCCGAGAACGTGCCGTGTCGCCGCTATTTTTAAGCCATATGAGCCTAACAAGCTTGAGCAATCTGCTTTTCGAATTTTCGTGTCCATGCTTGTTTTCGCTGAAGATTCTGTCTTAGGATAAAGTGATATATAGTACTTGCAATGCATGCCGAAAAATATTAACATTTTTAAATGACGTCATAGTAGCTGTCTCGCTGCCCAAACAGTGTGCAGTTTCCTATATAATTTTCTAGGTATTTGACTAAGCATTGTTTTCTACATTTGGTTTTATAATGTAGCAACCTCGTTCCATAAAAAATATCCCAAATTGCGTTTTCAATTTCACCACGAAACATTTGAGGTACTCAAAATATCGGTACGCGAGGCTCGCCACAATATGCGTTCATCGGTATGTTTTGATTTTACAGTAACAACGCCGAGCAATTGTATCTTGTAGCTATACGTTTTTAAGGTTTCTGAAAATTTTGTCTATTAACACCGAGCCATTTTCGGCGAACCTTCACGAAATTTTGCGAACCGGTTCAATTCAATTAGGGAAATCAAGAAATATTACAGTGTAACTCCTCTAGTAAGATTTAACATTCACTCCACCAAGAGTCTTATTTCGATTCAAACTTCACGTTACTTGAAAACCTAAAAACTAACAAATTTAAAAGTTTTCACACGCAAAGTCTGTAAATGTATGCAATCAATGGCTGCAAAAACGTAATTCCAGACACTCCGTCGTAGTGTCCTCTGTGTCTCTAGTTTTGAATTTTTTTGTTAAGAAGGAGCAATGCAAGGACTTCATCTTGGTGTTTCCATCCGGGCCATGAAAACTAATGTTACTATACCCCCAAAAAATGACACAACGCTTCCTTTTTTCTTTGATAGCCGCGCTTGAAAACCAGAAAACCCAACAAACAATACAAAGCAAAAAAGTGTAATTTAGACGGGGTCTCATAGCGGAAACGACCTGTTTATGTCCTAATTCGTCATGGTCACTGCAGACATGTCCATAAACAGATCGTCACGACCGCATCCAAATTCAAATCCACGCGACAACAAATATTTCCTGTCCACTGATCCGTCAGAGAACCGTCAATACACCCTAGATAAGGACACCCCCCCCCCCTTCCCCCCCTCGCTCGGCTTGTGTTCACACGTCAAAAACATACCAAAGCCATAGCCGGGACCAAGACAAGAACGAAATTTTTATCTACAAGCCCTGAATACACGGGAAGAAACCTTTAAAAAAAAAACATAACTAACTTTGGCTTCCCAGGCCTTTATTGCATAGTCTCCTCTTGTTCCCACAAGAGTCTCACCACAGGTCTACTGACCGCAGGAGTCTTAACCTGCCTCGCGGTCGGAGTGGGGCCAAAGAGGCGGTTACGGAGATAATGGCCGAATCGAGGTATACGGACACAACGCGCACATGTCTCCGCCATTGTCCACGTGACCTACAGGAGGACAGAGCATCTGCCGCCTCAAAAATTTATGAATGGTTGCCATCTCCACCCCCCCCCCCTTCCCTTCGCTCCCTCTCTCCCCCTGTCGTGTCCGATTGGGTCTGCTTGGATGGACTCCTTTGCCGAAGAGGGTGCTGTTCACCGTGGTCCGGGGCGGTCTGCTGTCGGCAACGATGTGAAACACCGGTTGGTTGCTTGTGTGGTTAAGGAACCGCGAAGCAAATGAAAAGGGACACGCGTGGCTTTGTGGTTTGCGTAAGGCCCAGAGTTGCGTCATCTGTTTGATGGAAGCGAAGCACGGGGTTGGTTTAGTGAATTTATGGGCCGTCGTGTGTGCTGTGCTCCGCCCTCTGAGCGGAATGGGGTTTGATGGGAAAGGAAGAAAATGAAAGGAGGCGAAGGGGAGGCAGCGTGTGGAGGTTTAATTAAAACGCAGTGTAAATAACCAACCTAAAGTTCGAGCAGGGTCTGATAAAGAGTGAAAGAATAATCTGAAAACAGGTCGAAGTACCTCTAATTACTTGTGTTTCAAGCATTGAGTTGAAAGCGCGTATACGCTAGTGTGTTTTTTTTTTTTTTTCTTTTTCCGCCGCGTTTTACGTATGAATGAAGGATTTAATATCCCAGTCCTGTAGGTTTAAATTTGGACTGGATTTGTACCGGCGCCAATTTCCGTAATGACTTCGGCCAGATGCACGCTAAAGTCCTAATGGTTAGCCATTATGCTTCATTGATAGAGTGACCAAACGTCCCGTTTTGGCCGGGGCGGTCTCGTTTTTGAGGTCCATTTCGGTCGTCCCGTCATTTTGTCTCAGTGAAGCCTCGTGTATCGTTTTTTGTGAAAACTTGCACAGTTCGACAAAAGAAAACCGGAAGAGAATGTTTACTTCTTACAGACGCGATTTTATTTTAAACAAATACCATGAATACCTACCTCTAATAGAGTGTGATTTTGAGGTTTATCTGGTTATATGTCATAATATATTCTGTTTGCATAAACGTGTGGGGGAGACGTTTTCTAAATGACTGACATTGTTATGCTTTGTTTCACAATATTTTCTTATTCAAAAACTCTCACGCTCGATGTTTTTTGTTTTTTTCTTCACACACGACGTTTGTTTAGTTTTCGAAATTTGTTTTCAAAGGAATAGTGTAAAGAAAGAGTCGATGCACAGGTTTTTCGTGACTATCTAGCAAAACATGTTAGTGTTTGCGAGCCTGTCAGGTTTTGAAGCATCAATAGACTACTTCATAGATCCGTCCCCGCGCTCGTTGCGTTCTGGGAAACTATGGACCAAGAGCGGAGCACGTATGAATTTTGCTTCCCACTGATTTCAACAATGCATAACATGGCATTATGCCGCGATAAGGTGGCATTGTGCCGCGATAAGGTGCTCCGAGTTTCAGAATAAGTGTATTTGAAAAGGAAAAAGTTGTCACCTTACTTCCATTCGGTTTCATTTTGGCGCGTCCGCTTCCCCGAGATTCCGACGGTACTTAACAGAGCATTTCCATGGGTAAGGTCTCATCTTCCGAATTCAATTCTGAGGAGTGTTAAAACCCCGGAGCAGCCGATATGCGAAGCGACCATCTCGCACGAAGCACTGAATGTCAAAACTATAAATAAGCCCACGTAAGTGAAACAATATATCACGTTTAAAGCTTGCCAAAGACAGAACTATTAGCAACATCTCCCATAATGCGCATGGTTTCACGGTTTGCCGGACACTTTGAAATGAGTAGTCGCCGACGTTCATGTACGGCGACGACCCTCAAAGGGTTACAAATTTGAAAGAGGCACGTTCTTAACGCAGAACGCCCCCAAAAATGTGAGCTTTAACATTAAAATCAACAGTATTTACCAGAGCCCCTTTTCTTTCTGCCTCACCTCCAATACACCCCCCCCCCCCCCTTTCCTCCCATGTTCCGTTTTCTACTTTGAGGATCCTGGCTACACTATTCATTGGCCAACTTGACTGTATATTGAAGACATCAGACGTCGTTTTAAGTCAGTCCAAAGTTCCCCAGCCACTCCACAATGTTGTTGTTTTTCACGTCCAAATCCTATCAAACATTGACATTGAGATCAGACACTGACAGAAATCCGGCATTGACATTGGCAATGCCTATCAGACATTCCACAATGCCTATCAGACATCGGGTACTTCCAAATGCCTATCAGACAAAAACTTCGCGAAGCAGTAAATATCGTGAGGCAGGCTTCGCTTTTACGTTATAAACGATGTAAACTATGGAAAGATGTTCTGGCATCGGAGTAAAGATAAAAATAATCCCCATTAATTTTGATTCCGTTTACTTCGACACCTTCGAAAACAATCATTATTTTACTTTATACCACACTCTCTCTCTCTCGCGCGCGCGCGTTGTACGTTCTTTTGGTGGGTGCTGATTTAGTTCGAACGCTTTTGCGAAAGAGAAAGTAATTGTGTTGTATGTGTTTTTAGACAGCGGGAATGAGGAATTTAGCCAGTGCAGAGCCACTGCTGACCGTCGGTACTTAACGTGCATCATTCAGTATTCATAAACGGCCGCACGCCGGTACAATGCTAATCCGGATCAAAGAGGGAAAGGCTGAGCATTGGGAGCCCAGGATGCCCGGTCTCTGTGGCGCTAGCTTTCCCTCCACGGGCTCCGAGCAGCGATGCGCTAACACTGGCGGCCTCCGATCCCCCTCGGTTAGACACTTGAAGATTCATCACCATCAAGAACTCACCCTCGTCTCGGTGAGTCCGAGGTTGTCGGCGATGCGGTGCACCTGAGCCCCGCTCAGGTAGCGGTTCGCCAGAAACTGCGCCTCCAGTGCCGACACTTGAGCCCCCGTGAAAGGGATCCGAGGATTCCTGCCCAGGTAGCGCCTCCGCGGGAACTCGCGTCGGCCTGCGAGGGAGCACCGATGAGGAGCTCGCCGGTCGTAATGCCAAGCACGGAAACCACCAAGTATCCTCAGAGTAGGGCCGTATTACCCAGGTTTTGCTTGGGAGAAAACGAGACGTGACTGCCCGGTCGTACGTGGACCGTCTCTCGCATTAATTATTTTCTCGCGCCAATTGGATTGAAGAATTACTAACAACCTAAAAAACGCAGGTTGCTGTCTTATATGTTTTCTCTTTTTGCTTTCTGATTGGTTCCTTGTCGTTCTTATCGGTTGATGCCGCAATCTGATTGGCTGCGTAGCGATGATAAGGTGCTCGGAACTCACCAAAGCCCCGCGTTTCGTAAACTGTCCGCGACTACGGCATTTCTGCATCTTGTAAACCCTGAGATGGGGAACGATAAAAAAAACGGACCAACACAACAAAATCTGCTTTTGAGATTTTGTTGTGTTCGTCCGTTTTTTTATCGTTCCCCATCTCAGGGTTTACAAGATTTGGATTGATTACCAGCTCGCCTGCACTCCCTCACTGCTTACGATTCGACATTTCTGTTTCTTTTATCTATCTGAACCCTCGTCAACGAGAAAGAAACAGTAGTACTTTTTTGCGAAATATCAGAGGCACCGCGCATGCATCCACGGTCCGCCTTCTCGGCATTGGTGGCCTGGGCAATATGCACCTCACAGATGTATAGACAGCGAGAATAGTACTCGTATAAACTTTAGAGTGACAGCCGTTACTTTTGGAAATGTCGTTTGTCGAACCTCCTCCGTAGCTCCACAATGATTTCCTATACTTCCGCTTTGCTAAGAAGCGTACACACGTTATTCTTTTCTTTTTTTTTAAGCGACGCTCGACAATGATTATAAAATTGGATTTCCATTGTCTTGAACATGTAGTCAGTAGCTCTCGAAGTCAAAAAAGCCATAAACTGCGACAAAGCCTGTACTGTGTTTCGCCTTACAACTAATAAAAAGTATGCAAGACCATACTATAGTTTGGATCATTTCCAATCACAATAGGTTGAAGATTGGTTTGGCAGACCTAACGTTTCCACAGCACACGTTCAGATCAACAGGATTACGTGACATATTCGCATTCTTATACCAATGGCCCTTGTGGGATACGTCAATATGACCCTCAGACATTATTTGATATTAATAAAGCTGATCGTAGTTATAGTGACCTTATCTAAGAGTATAGCGACAAAGAGCAGAATTTCTCCAGGCAGCTTACGTGGTAGCTTAGGTGGCTTGTAGCGGCTGCACTGGAGCCAGTCAAACCGGGAGCTGCGGTCGTCGGTGCTCGCCTTTTCTGAACACTCCTCAGCTCCCGGCAAGAACTCCAAGTCGACCTTGAAGGACGACTGAGTCGTGGAAGTGCGATCGGACAGAAGACCATCGATGGAGAAATCGACTTTCTGCTTCGCTGCCTGATTGGGCGCCCGGGTCGCTTCATTTCTGGTGTTCTGCCGGGCTGTGGACGTTTCCGGCCCCGAAAGAGACTCTGATGACGGCGCTGTTTCAGGCTGGGCGTCATGGCTGGCCATTGAAGGCCCGCTTCGAGCTGATCATGAGTCATTGAACGGGTCTACTAGAAGAAGTCATCTTTATGCCAGGCGTCGTCAGTCACCCTGGAACTCCGGTACTAGCAACTCCTCTGGTAGGGTGGCTCGCTCTTTGGTTTCTTGTGGCAGTTTGTTTTAACGTGTCTGTCTGGGCTGTTCCCTCCTTCCTAATAATGGCTGGTTCCTTGATCTTCGGCTAGACAATAAATATTACAAAAATTAGTCTTTTAGAAAATTGGGACTGATACTTTAGATGGTTTAAACTTAAGACCCGTTTGCTCACTTTCGTTTGAGTACCACCGACTGAAATTAGAGCGGTGTTTAAGCCCCTTCTAATGACTTAAGACTGGCTGCATGGCTACGCAGCCAGTCATAAGCTGTCACAAAAGGCTTAAAAACCGGTCTTACCTCAGTCGGTCGTAGTCGAACGCAAGTGTGTGAACGGGCCTCTACTTAAACGTGTCTAAGCAGGTTTTAATTGAGCCTGCGGTTAAAGTTGCTCAAACATGTCGTCAGCAGAACAGTCCGCATATGTGATGTGGCTTTGGACATACTAGCAACTTTCAGGCATGGTGGTAACGCGGTGTGAAGACCGCGTGTAGTAGTTAGTAAATGATCGGTTTCGCAATAAGGATGCTTGCTTACAGATTGCTGACACGAAATATTGATGTGAGACTCTAATATTCCTTTTGTACAACAAAACAGTTCTGCGCCAAACATAACCCTGTACTCTTGTTCTACGTAAGTCATTTAGATGGCGGCCATTTTGATAGGCACCAGTGCACCTCCTATAGCTCGTCACAGTTTCGAATGCAGACAGCGAGAACGCTGCAGCTGCAGTGGTGAACTTGCACCATGGAGCAATAAAACACCTGGAAGTAGCAAAAGTCTTTTGTTCAGAATTCATTAGAATGTGTAGCTTGACATCTAAGGTTTCCCTGTCAAGCACTTAAAAAAAAATGTCTAACCTTCCAAAACCGCGGCAAGCCATGTGGACTCACAACAATACCCTACACAATCACTGCAGACTCTCCCAAAAGTATTTGATGTATTAATAAAAAAATATACGTCGATAAGAGAGGTCACTTACCTGTCTCTCCTCGCAGGGTTCGGGCGCAGGATTACGGCCGATCAATGCCCCGTGACTAATCTCGTCGAGGATTAAATTGCGTTTTCAGCGCTCGACGATCGCGTTATCCACTGCAATAATCCGCTCGGTCTGTGGACAGGCCCCATCGCTGCTTCCTTCTTTCTTCCGTGTGACCCTCTCCACATCAAAGATGCCTCTCCTCCTATAAGAGTGTATTGCATTTACGTTTTCTTTTTTTTTTTATTTGTGCATTTTCCGTTAATACTGCGAGGCACGCCGAACGTTACCTGTGTTCCATTGCGAAGCCTCATTCATAAACGGAGTTCTTTTTTTAAAGCAAAATGTACACACTATGCAGCGCGTCTCATAGAACAAGCTTATATGCTAGTGACCACCTATTAAGCACGAGTTGTGTGGGATTATATGACCCGTGATGCAACGTATTCATATTGCTTTGGTTGGTACTGACTGACTTGCTTGCGTACACTATCTGGCATACCCTGTTTGTATCGCGGTTCTTTATGTCTTATTTTTAATCTCTGAAGTACGGAATACTATGGGCAAGCATTAAAAAAGTGCGGGCGAGTGTTTCTAAAGAGGCTGCATGTCCACGGTGTACAAAGAACAGGGGATGTCATGTTGCACAATGAACTGATCCCACGTAACTTCGACCGACCAAAACCGCACCAGACGACTTAAAAAAAAATTATTAAAAATATCGTTGTCTCTATACCATGTTGCTTTCCGCTGTCCGCTCCGTACGCTCTCCCTTTCTCTCTTTCCTTCCCTCTCCCGTTTTATTTATTTCTTTTCCATCCCCACCGGCTCGATTTAAAGACTTCATTGAAAACTGATCGAGCGAACACTGATCCGTTTTGATGAGCAAGAAGGCAGGGGATAGTGACGATCAAAAGGCCGAAGCCGGATTTTTTTTATTATTATTATTTGTCGTTTTGAACGCTTTTGGTCGTGCGGACCGCTTCTTTCACTTTTCGGCTCTGCTCTTTATATATTTTTTTCTAAACATATTGAGGCTGCCCGAGTCGTTGATCTTTCAGCGGTCTTAAAGTCAAACTACGTCCCAATAGTTTTTCCTCCATCGTTTACCTAAACCGTTGTCTAAAATTGCACACGCCTACCAACATGTGCCTCTCACAATACAGTGTGCATAACTTTCAATCGGGAGTTTTGGGGAACCGTTTTTGCACATCCGGTGGGCTCTCTAGTACGAATTGCACATTTACTACCGCAGAAGACTCGGATATGTGCAGTGTGTACCGATGGGCCCATCGCACCGTATCGAATGCGCAAACACGGCTCCCTAAAACTCTCTAATATGGTATAAACTTTACGTTACGCTCTGACTGTCACTGAACCCATGATATCCTCTAAGAAAGAGCTGCAACAGTATTAAAAAAAAAAAAGTAATTTAGGCTTTTTTTTTTTTTTCAGAACACGAAACAGCGAATTACAATGAACAATAGGAAGATCTGAGCGAATGACGAAACTGAGAATGTGATAGGACCAATATAGGCAATGTATGAAGTGTCAATGAGCATGACGTTTGGCCTTTTTTTAAAGATCAAATCGCGTACTCAGCTATGCCGTTCGCTCGGCTCCTTTTATAGCTCGCCATGATTGGGTTGTGCCGAAAAAAGAAACTCACATTTTTTTTTTAATTTGAAGGAGCGGATTTGAAGGACTCGGGCCCAATCTGAAGGCCAGCTAAACAAAAACTCTTTGCAACTTTTTTTTCCTTTTTTAACAGCTGGCTCATTCTTCTATGGTCAGCGACAAGATTAGAACGGCAGGGACCGAGCCTCAAGCACGGGCTCGTAGCTACCCGCCGTGTTTTGGCTGCGTATGCATGCGTGAAGCACGCGAAACGCTGAAGCAATATTACAAAAGATAGGTAGCTCACTCTGGAAGCGAGACAACTGACAGACTCTTTGCCGTTCTTATTTTGTCAGTGACTGCAGTAGGTCCGTAAAGTAAAAAAGATCCTTCGCTTGGTCGAGATTATGAGTATTGATCGGATTTACGTCACACTTATAAAATTTAAGTTGAGCATTTTACTTTATTATATGTTTTGTTGATGTCTATTCAACGCAGCCCCTCAACTCAGTTACCATCTGACCACGCTAGCCCCTCCAGATGTAGCAGACGTCGCAACTAACAGAGGCGAAGCCTAGCGGAGTTCGGATCTATCCTTAAAGGGCGCCAGTTATAGCAAAACAAAGCTCAAAAAGCTCTACAATCTCCGAAATTCAGGAAACAGGTTTATCGATATATGATTGGCTGCAGTAGCTGCTTCAAAAAATGTCCAACATTAATGCGTGTGTGTTTTTTTTCCGTACCACGTCTGAGTCAAATCAATCAAAAAGAAGCCACGAATGCAATCAACGATCCAACCCAAATTACGAACAACATCGAAACAAGTGGTGCTGTTCGACTAAAAATATAAATGTACCATTTCAATCACTGTTTCAAATCGGTCACTTAGAGATTTTGTTTTTGTTGCTGTTGATCAGCTTAAAAACAGCTATTTTTCCGTGTTTTTTTTTGTTTTTTTTTTTTTTTGTTTTTAAGAAACCGACATTGCTTAAGACGTACTTTTCACTAGAAAACTTTCCAGATAACTTTTTTTTTTCAATAACCTCAGGTCTTGCAAATAGAATTTCGAGCCAGCTTTCGTTTCTCCGAAGGCCAAACAATCGGCAACCTGACATCGCCCCGGATTTCAGTTTGTGAAAGTACAGTAACAACTGTTCTGCAAACAAATCAAAGTGTACTGCATTGAAACACTCCCGTGTCTATAGAATCTGCGGCCTTTTTGCTCAGACATATTACCCATTAATTTAAACTTCACTTCCTCATAATCTCAAAAATATTGTTTGCTCCAACTCTCACGCGTTGTTAATGAGCATTATACAAAATGTATCTAAGTACCAATGAGAGTCACATATAAAAAAGAATAAAGTAATTGCATGATTTTTTAACCAGCTTTTGAGTTAAAAGAAAACGAGGTTTTCTGTATGACTAATTTCATCAATCACGTGTGTGAACGTCTGAAATAAAGCGACGGGGAGCTTGCCTTGGAGAATCGATGGCTTAAGAACGTGCGAGTGCACTGAAGCCATTTTTTACCTAACCTTCCTTATAGGTTGTCACTGTTATGGGGACCAAGGCCCCTTGAAGTCATTAAAACCATGAAAGCCCCAGAGACCATCGAAAGCGTAAATACCATAAGGATATTAGCAGCAATAAGTGTAGATATCACTAAATCATGGCTGCCATATGAAAATTGGTATCTCTTATAATGCATGATAGATATGAGTGCCGTAGGAAAGTTAGAGCCGTCTGAACCACCGCCATTCATCAGCAGGTATCTTCGTTACTCGCAGATTTCGATGAACTAAAGGTGACCTGAAAACTTCCGCTCCGGTACGAACATGGTGAATTGTTATAGTAGACAAATCATACATCGCTTCTTGGCTCTTTTAAAAGAATCCTACAAACTTGCGACTCAAATACGTTTAATAATTATGTCGTTTTAGGCTCTAACATTGTTGCTTAGTAATCAATAAGCCTTCGTATTACATTCATGAGGATGAAAATTTTGTCATGAGCAAGGTCCAGACAGTACACACCACAGTGGTGAAAGTTGGAAATTGGCAACGGTATCTCTATTCGGCCTCACACGTCCCAATAAAAATAACTCTTGTTGCGAAAAAACAAACTGGGGGATGTTAAAATAGTATTCACATTAGAACCTATAATGTAGCTTCGCCTGGCTGAAGATGCTTTCTTGCTTGGGTTCCCGGAGCTGCACCAGAAAACATTGCATTCCTTTTGAGTTAACAAGAACGGGTAGTTTGATGTTTTATTGGTTTGTTTCATTCAACAAGGTAAACGCTATATCACGGTCTTAAAAGAATCTCTGACACTCCTAGGGCGTATCGCAGATGCTCTGGCTCAATAATATTCTTAAGGAAACAAAAAGAAATGCGTTTCTGTTTTTTAGAAAGCTGATTAAAACTAATAGTTTAATGTCCATTCATATTTATATACACGTATTTATTGTGTGCTGAATTAATCTTTTTTTTTTTTTTCTAAATATTGTCCCAGCTAAATTCAACAAGCATCGTCCTAACAAAACGTTAGCTAATACTGGTACCTTTTTTATCTTACTGCACTCGTCTCCAATATTATTATTAAAACAAGATACTAATATAATCCTGCTTCGCAGTTGGTCAAATTACGTTGAAATCTAATACAGTTCATACGACAAATAAAAGGAAATTTATATAATTCATTTCATGTTTTCCCGTCTTCGGCATGTACAAGCGATAGCGCATGTCTGGGAAGTCCCGAACCTGCATTCATTAAAAAGATATTTCGTTTTTTTTTTTCTTTTAAAAAAAAACTTTAAATGAGGAAACAAAAAAAAAAAGGTATCAAGTACGAAGAAGAGAGAAAATCTCAAACTTGATTGACACAATGTACATTTTTGATAATGCCAAAGCTTATTAAAAACAATAAATATTAATATTGACAAAATATATCGTGTCCGAAGGTGTCAGTAGGTACCAGGTATGACATACTGTCTGCCTTCGTTCAATTATGTGCTACCAGGAAGATAATATCCCAGTGCTAAAGAGTACCATGGTTCGGTTGGTCCGGGATTTTGTTCTCAACAAAACATCTTGAAACAGACAGACTCGGGTGATAATTCCAACTTGATCCTGTAAAATGACTAACATAAACACTTAGAGTATTCCGAAGGTAAACAGGCTGGTCACACTAGGACAAACTATTCTTTTTTTTTTCATCCTCATCAGCCAGGCGAAGAGAGAAACACTCAGTGATTTGTTATAGCGCTGCAAGAAACGTTCTAAACAACGGCCTTACACGCAACCAGTTCATTTTCTGCCAGCATCAGTTATGAAAGGAGCAATACTGTAACCGGCGAGTCGACATCCGACCTTTTAGAAAACGTAACCACAACACAAATTGTTTCTCTGTTCAACAGATTCCACCCGTACAAGGGCGATGATGCGACTAAGCTTCATGAAAACTCGTAGTCCTGGACACAATACACGGACTGTTCTTGACTGAAGGCGAGATGCTCCACCCTTCAGCACGTTTCTCGAGTAGGATCGAAGATGACCTGTTAAGCTGAATGGCAAACGTTTTAACAGACGTTTTTAAAGAGTCCTACTCGTGTTGAACACCACAGCTGGAATGGCAAGTCTTCTGCACACGGTGCTGAAGACACTTACGGATGATGAACACCAGAGAGAAACTTCCAGTCTTCGAGAGAAGTTGTAGAAGACAGTTGAGGATGCTTAACACAACAGCTGAATGAAAAGTAATCCTCTGGCGTCGCTGATGAGACTTCAAGATGCTAAACACCACATTCGAATGACCACTCATTTAGGGTCATGGAAGTAATGACTTGCTCAATTTGGGGGCCACTGATGAACTTGTGGAGGATGATCTAAAAAGGACCTTGATCGTAAGACCACAGCGGAAAAAAGCAGCCCTCGCACTCGCACTTAATTAACACTGACCATAATTTTACATTTGAGCCGTGTGGTACCACCGAATTCCCGGCCGCAACGGATGCCGAAGCACGGTTGCTGAAGAACAGTTCGAAACACTAGAAGCCTGTTTTCAGCTCTTCTGCAGAGACTGCTGAGGAGCTGAGACGCTCAGGGACAAGAAACTCACACGCAAGCTTCGTTCGGCTTGAGCAGATTTGAAAAGACGACAACTGTTGACTCTCAACACACACACACACACTCACGCACAACTTACAAATAACTTCGGTGAGTAGGTAACATCAGTCAACGCATAATCCTCCGGTGTCTCAGAGTCCCTTAGCATCTAACGTGCAGAACCTAAAGCTCAACGTCAGGTACCGAGGCTCTGCGGTACCACCGAGCACCGAAACTGGTTCTGGTCGGCTTTGGTTGGCCCGGCGTCGACCAGACAAGGAGTGGAAACGAATGAGAAGGAGTCTTTGCGTCACTGAGCCGTTCCTTAGAGCAGAGGCGTCGGTGAGATTCTTGAAGAACCGAGGACCTTGGTCAGCGATAAGCGCGTCTCCAAGCCTCGTGGTGCGAGCGTCATCTCTTCGACGATTGCTGCGACAAGTACCTCATCACCTCCTCGTAACTTGGCGGCAGGTCCTGGTAAGACAAAACAAAAGCCAGGTTAATGAGCATCCTTTAAATGTTTCATTCTTCTCCGTGTGCTTAGAAGATTACTTAGCTTCAACATCAATATGGCCAAACACTCATTATGACGTCTCTAGTAGGATAAGCTCCCTTTCCATCGAAAGAGATAAAAGTAATGTCAGGCGAGAACGCGATAAGACCAACAGTCTACCGTGCTTTCTGCACGCACTACCGAAGTTGTAGTTCGCCGCACGTGATCCTGGCAGTGACGCCACGGGTACGAAGCGTAAATGGCGCCACCGAAACATATCTTAACAAATAGCAATAAAGGGCATTGCCTAGTATTAGCATGTAGTGTGAGCAAGAAAGAAGAACCTGATGACTCATAGGAAAGAGTCGGTAACACAAAATCATCTGTTTCTTGACGCTATAATGCTCCGGACATATAATATCCGTTCCACTACTACTACAAGGCAAAGCAGGGTTTGGTTTATTGTTTGTCCTATTCTCATTCACAACTTTCTGTGGCTATACAGCCATAGGTGTGGGAGCGTGTACTTAAGTGCTGGCTAAGTTGGAAACGCGCACTCCTCTTCTCGGAAATGCCACACGAATGTGCCCCCATAATAGACCAATGTAGGAAGAGTACAGACAAGCGCCGCAAGTTTTCGAAGGCACTTTTTATTAGCATGAAAAGAATGATGCCCAAGCAATTTAGTCACATTGTAAAAAAAAGGCAAAAAAAAAGCGCTTGATTAAAAATACCAAAAACTTTTCGCATATCTTTAAAAAGTGGGACCATAAATAGTAAGACTAAATTTAACAACTGATACAACTCGGAAGTTTCACTACTAATAAATTAAATGCTCACCGCGTAGTGAGGGCTTTTTATCGTCGTCAATTTGAAGGGAGTGTACAGCAACAGTACTGGCATGAGACGAGTCTGTAGTTCTGCTGGAGTCCTGTCTGCTGCCTTTGGGCAGTCCCAAAGCCGATGAGTATCATGGGGGTACTGAGCGCAGGTACTGAATTGTGATGTGCCACTGCGCCGCCAAAGTGGCGTTTGAGATGATGCTCCGTCCTACGCACAATAGTGGAATCTTCCTGGTGTAATATGTATGATTGCTTGTCTAATAAGATTCGGTTTAGTCTGCGCTAATTGAATGTATTGGCTCTCTGTTTCTGCAAAAAGGGGCGATGAATGTAGGAGTCATAGAATTGGGGCCATAGTCCCAGGGCAGTGAACAGGAGGCGCCTCGGTCGGCTGCTAGTCAGCGGGGCTGGTAGCCGAAATCGGCAACTTTGAGGCGGCCATGTCGCCGAGGGATCGGACACGAGTGCTGGTCACAGTTTGGAACGGCGCTCAGGGATTCGAGCTCGAGAACGGGTCCAATGATCGGAGCCGCTGCCCGTCTCGGAGTTGCAAAAATTCCCCATAAGATGCCGCCGCTTGTCAAACCGAACTAGGGTGCCTACATGTCTGTCTGTCTCAGGGTGAAGACATCCATTGTTGCACTGAATGTGCCAGCGCGTGACGCGCTCGCGCACTTGGTGCGTGACTTGGGCGATAAAATGGCGTCTATGCATTAGCCAAAGCTACGCGCTCGAGCTGAGTAACACTGTATTGCGCACACTTCGAAATGCATAAAAAAACGATTGGGCGTGAAAATGGCTGAGATGTCACCACTCAAGCAAAAGCGCGCGTGTGTATGAAGGCACTCTAAACCGAACTTCATCGCCCGGATGGTATACACAAACTTAACTCGGTTACGTCACGCCGCGGTGGTGGCGTGCCGGGCGCACTTCCGGTCTGGGGCTGCGGGCGGAAGTCATCATGCGGGACGTGCATTCCCGTGTGGCCTTGGAAGAATCCAGAGTAAAACCTGCCTTTCGTCAAAACGCTGCAACTGGGGCTCTACCAAAAGATTCGGGAAGGGTTTGAAGATTAGCTTTCATGTGTTTTCTGCCTACTCGGCTCGCCCGAGGACGTGAATAGGTGCCGTGAAAAGGAAAAATTAGACGCCGCCAGACCAGGATTGCTTGGGCGGGAAGTATTTTGGGTTGAATTCACGGGTACTTGCGGCCGTCAGATTTATTTGTCTCGTTCTAACATGAACGCGGGAAAATCGCAAATTTGACCGGACAACCCGAGGATAACGTTTAGTGCGTCCACAAGTTCAAACGGCCGCATAATCGTTCGAATTGCCGTCTGCTCTTTCAGACATGTCACTTGTTGTTGTCTACTCTTTCAAACGGCAGCGGCCCGTATACCAAACGCTGACCCGGTATTTGCGATAAAATGTAAGTTCAGGCCTCAAAATACTTTTAAGTTTGAAGGTTGTTTAGGGTAAGTAGACTGGTCTATACAGTAGATAGAAGGATATCTTGATCATTGTTACCAGTGGCCATCACCGACTTGTTATAATTGATTATGTTGGTCCGATTCTGCTTTTGATTTTCAGTATAAACGTCGAGCATCGTAACTATCGCCCACTCTTGCGCAACCCGAGCGACGTCGCGACTGAAAATATCGACCAGAATCTCATCATGGTTTTAGAGTCCAATCTGCGGCTTTCACGCGAATGAATCACCGCACGTCGCATCATTTACGCGACGCTGTGCGGTGTAATCAGCCTCATTAATTTCGCTCAGGTAACTCAAGTGCTAAGACATTGCTAGGAAGACGTATAATTTACAACTCCAACGCGAAAAACAGCACGAAACTCGCGCTTACGCCGACAACGTGACATTCCAATGGTTTGTTGATGCGGGACGCGGCGCTTCTTGGCCACACTCCATCGCGCATGCGCGGCGCCGGTGGCGTGCCTCTAGGAGCGCTCCGGTTTGTTTATAAACATGGGTTAGCGTATAGGATGGGGTTGCCCGGATTGGGGTTGCCACGGGCGAGCTCGTGGGCGAGCTCGTTCCCCTCCTATGCCTTACTGCTCCGGTATTTACCCTATGGTTTTGAACCGTGGTCTTGAAATGGTTGGTCACTGTGTCTGCCAGCATAACCATAACATGCGAGGGCAGGATATTGTCTCTTAAGTTCCATATGGCCTCTTGCCTGTTTCTTTTAACTGTGATTTCACCAACGGTCGCGTCGTGTCTAGGTGTCAAGACTGGTGGGTGGGGAATCGTGCGTCTTTGTGGCTGTATGTTGCTTCCGTTTCTGGTTCCACTATAGCGATCGCGCCTGCATTGTTTCCGGGGCCATAACTGGCATCTGTGTAGCAGTAGGTTCCGGGTTCTTGCTCACGGAAATTTAGCCGTTTGAATTGGATGCTTCGTTTGTGGTCGTTGTGGGGATTCACGTCCTTGTAAATGGACTTGGCGTTCATTCCGATATGCGGTACCATAGTGAGGCCGGGTCCGGTCTGGTTTATAGTTATTTTTAATTTTATAGCCTAGTTCTTGTAATGTCCTCCTGACTTGTTCAGTCGTACCTGATACGTACTGTACTACTTCTCATAGGTCTGTTTTCTTCTCTCTGGGGTGTTGAAGGTGTCAGCCCCTAAAGTTTGGCCAATGGGATGAATCTAGATTGGTGGCTCTAGCGCCAGGCGGGTGGCCTCCCTAAAATACCTCTTTTTTTTCTTTTTTTTTTTTTTTTTTTTTTTTGGGGGGGGGGGGGGGGGGTTGTGATGTTTATGTTCGGAAGCCTGTAAGTGACTCTTGAGGTAAGCATTTCAGTTATTTTATATTAACTAGTATTCCTTCACACCTGCCTTTCTCCGTGTCATCCCTCCTAGCATGTAGGTGACATTTGCCCTTTCTGTTGCTTGTTTTCTTTATTGTTTCTGTACATTTATTCACTGTCTTGTTTTAGTAAGTAAAACAGGATCTGTATGGATTAGTACCTGTGCATCACGTGACTGTCTAAATCCAAACTGAGTAGGTTTCTGATTCGCTCAGCTGTTTGGTTGTTACTGCCCAGTGCTACAGTGTACTCACTCCGTGGATTATTCTCACAAACGATGCTCCACTGTCCAGCTAGTCGCACTGGTCATTTCTGCCGTGATGATGGGCGTACGTACCTCTTTGGAGGGCAACACTGGGGACGGCGGCCTCACAGCCCTCGGGATGACCACCAGGTCCCATTCCGGACCTGCATGGATGGATGGATAGATGTTAATGGCTATACCTTTTGTAACGGCGGTAGCTTGCGCCACCTAGCTTACATCTAAGAAGTAAAACATTCGATTCCTCCCGCCCTTCTAAGACCACTTTTCTCCCCCTAACTATCACCAGCCAGTGTGGGATATCACCAGGATGACCTTCTGGGGATCGGAAAAAAAACTGAAAACATCACCCTCCGTGCCCCACGAGAGGGAGACGCCAATTTTCCTCTGGTGAAACATTGTCGGCGTTACCCCAGCACCAGACCCACTGGGAGACAGGGTTGAGACTTTGGGCCGGAGCCACGCGGGAGGGAGTCCCAATTTTCCTCTATCCCGCCTGTCTCCAGCTGTGCTAGTTAGTTGTGCATAATTCAATTTTCCTTTGATAATTTCCACCAATCTTCTAATTGCCTCTTTGTGACTGTAACCCTTTTACCGTCCGTCCTTCCATCGTCGCTAGCAAAACCCAGAGGCCCGGCCAACTCCGTTACCCCTTCAGCGAGGGCAGGGTGAAACCCCGTGCACTTCAAAACCAAGTGCTCTAGTGTCTCGCTCTCATTAGGCGGCACATAATGCGTCTGTCCCCAGAAATTCAGCCCTGTACGTCCTTGTCCTCAAAACTCCCATTCTCGTCTCGAATAGCAAAGAACTTCCCAGTGAATTGTCAAACAAATTTTCAATTCTTATGTCCTGTTTTTGTTACCTGAATATTGTTAAAGTTGATATTTCCTAAATTCTCCCCTCCCACATTTGTCTTTCTGTTTCTTTCACCCTCCTCTTTCCTTAAGTAGTCTGCTCAGCCCCATCACTAGTGTGAAGGTATTTAAATGTAAGCTCTCGGGTTCGGTTTGTCCATTTTGTGTTGAAACTATTCATGTATTAATACTTGCACACCTTCCGTGCTCACCGCGTATCGTCCATTTTTGTCAACCTTTGTTCAAATTTCAACTTATTAATTGCGTCTCTGCTCTCAAAAGACGGCCAGCCCATGGCCCCCTGTACTCCCTCATTTGGTGTGTTTCCATTTGCTCCCAGTGCCCATCTGCCTACGCTTCTTTTTCAAATCTCTAATCCTGAAATCAGAGGTTACTCTGATTTCATACGCATTGCTCCGTGGAAGTGAACAGAGGTTGGTCGTCAGACTGCCTTCACAGTCAAAATCTGAAGACAGAGGATAGGACGTCTCGGGCGCAATTCTCTCGAACGGACAGGCAGAAGCCTACATTTCTGAGAAATGCTGTGGTCGTACGTGCACTCTAAAAAACCGTATGCTTCTGCTTACCCGCAGAGCGTGGGAGAGAGCTAATCCCTGCAATTTAAGGAGTGAGAACGGCCAATCACGAGGCTGATAATACGTATCGATTAAAAAAAGTATCCGCTGTAACGCTGAGCATTGTGAAACTTCGCTCGCAATGTCAAAAAAGTCGTTTTTCTTTTTTTTCTTTTTTTTTTTTTTTTTTTTTGGGGGGGGGGTTTAAACTTATTCTTAGTTTTGTCATTCGCCGAGTTCCCTTTGTAGACTTCAACGATTGGTTCTTCCAAGTGCTTTACGGAAAAGCAAATGCTCCAAATTTTACAGCGAAGCTGTATATGACCCGTTGGTCGACAGAACAGTAATCGACAGGATAGTAGACAGAAAACCATCGCGCGCGCCTTATCACCGTTCGCACGCGCCTTATCTCTTATCATGTGGTATTGACACTTGTTTCAGTAAGGAAACCACAAAACAAGTATCAAAACCACGTGATAGATGATAAGCACATAGCGCCCCTCGCATGCGTTTCTCGGTAAAGATTGCGATTGCAGAAGCTGCCGCGGCAACGGTTGAGTACGAAGTGTGGAGTGATGCCAGTAGCCTCGCTAAGAATGCGGAGCACGTAGCGCTCCCCGCATGCGTTTCGCGGTAAAGATTGCGGTTGCATAGGCTGCCGCGGCAACGGTAGTGTACGAAGTCTTGCATAGTATACAGAAACGTTTTGGTAGAGTGTATTTACTTTTCTTTCGTAAATCCTTTGGTATAGAGACTATAGACCCTTTAACTGTTTACAAACATCAACTGCTGCTTGCGCCCCAAGTGACTTCCGGTCGCACCATCGCTGCAAGCCTGTTGAGGTTGCTTATGTCGACAGTGCTAGAAAGCATAAATGCTACACGGACAACAAAGTTAGAGATTCAACTAGGGCCTGCGGCTGTACAATATTACGTCTTAGAGGAGGCAAGTTGGTTTAGAAGACTATTTGAAACGCTTTAACAGATCTCGCACTCCTTCGTTCTTTTGGTGTTCATCTGGAGAAGTGGTGGCCTAAACGTTCCATCTACATTTCAAACAGCGGTGTTAATGTGGCCTTTCTTCGTTATTTTTAAAAACCGCAAGTTCTTTGGGACGTTAAAAACTGGAGCACGCCCTGATGGCGTTTGTCAAGAGTCTATAATGCAGTTGGCAATCGTTGCACGTGATACCACAACTTCGTTGTCCAACCACCTCCACAGCGTGGATTGGAGCCTCAATTCTTTTTTAGAATGTATACGATGAACAAGTCGACGAAAATGCGTCTTTCTTCGCGTGAGAAAGAAAACGCGAAAAAAGGGGGCTTTATCACGTGTGCGACCAAGTACCGCGTACATCAGACAGTATTCTTTTCGGTAGGTGAGCAACATCTCGTTATCTGACGCTTTATCTGAAATTGCCGGAAACAGTTCTTTGCCTTCAAGAAATGTTCAAATAGTTTGTGACAGGGAAAATTTACATCACCCGAGCTTTCTGGTGGCGTATTTCAAGCTCGCGAAGTCGCAGTTTTTTTCTTGTTTGTTTTTTTCGAATCGTAGCAATCTCCAAGTGTGCCAGCTGTGCGCCGAAATGGCGGCGACCACAAGAAAAGCGAACAACAGTGTAGTGTCCGTAGTCTACTTCTTGGCGACTCTAGAGAACGTAGATTGTAAACAGGCTCCACTTTAAACCACGGGGAGCATTCGCAATTTAATGGCAGACGCCTCCTGCGGAGATCGGTCGCAAGTGCGCCTCCGCTGCGTTGTCGCGTGGGGAGAAGGAAAGCAGGCGGAAAGGCGGACACATTTGCAGACGATCAACACTTTCAGCACCTGCTCGCAGCTTGTATCGCAAACGCGGCCCATAAACCACGTGACCCCGATCAAGAAGTTGGGTACGCTCTCTCTAATTGGCGACTCCAGGGAAATCGACGCCGCGTAGCGGCAATGCCGAGAAGCTCAAGAGGGGGTGTCGTTTCGACTCTGTCATCTGCTATCGCTGCTTGGTTCTCGTAGGCAGCATAGAACCAAAGATCGTTTCCAGTAGTTATTTTTATACTTCCGCCATGTTATTCTTACGCACTGACTAGAAGAACGTTTCTACCGTCGAAAGATTGCTTTGTTTTTGTATGCAGCACCAATTTTACGCTGCAGCGCAATAAATGTATGGTGGTCCCCGTGCTGAACGACGGAAACGACTTCCTTTCGTCCGCTATTTTGCCTGACCAGCATGGGCGTACCAATCGGGGGCCAAGGGGGGCGCTTGCCCCCCCCCCCTTCTCAAAGTGTGTGTGTGTGTGGGGGGGGGGGCAAGGCATGTGTTTTGTCCCCCCCCCGAAACAGCAGCCACTGGGCAGGGCAAACACTGGCCGGCGGCGCCAAAGCGATGCCAAGGGCCTGGCCCTGGGGGGCGGGGGGTATGGTTTGCCCCCGCCCCCTCCCCCCCCCCCTTCAAAACAAGTTGGTACGCCACTGCTGACCAGCGTGTCCCTTATAGTTCGTTGGAGTCACGAATACAGGCTCTCAAGTCGACTTCAGCGAAATTGACGCCGCGTAGCGGCAACTCTGGTCAGCTACGAGAGAAGGTCGTTTCACTTCTGTCGTCTGCTCTCGCTGCTTGGTCCTCGTAGGTAGCGTAGCTTTAAGCGCTTGTTTATTCAGATAAACTAGACAATCGCGGTTCATCGTTGCCGCAAAAAAATAAGGGAAGAACAAGGAAGTGGAAACGTTTCACTGGTGTTCAATTCCCCACATCAGCGGGACGGAAAACAACGCCATTATGCAAAACATGGTTCCCTGCGATATTTGTCCTGAGAAACAGCGACGGGAGCATATTTATAAAATAGAGGCTGCCACAAAAGCCCGCTTAGAACCCCTCTTTATTATTTTCTAGAAAATTTAATGTCATGACACAGGTTATCAAATATGATTAAGATTGTATGTTGATCGGTGTAAAACCCCAGTCTCACGCTTGTCAGATACTCATTTACAAGAAAATCTCATTTTCACAAATTATCTACAACACGAGAAGATTTGGTCGTGCTACTACAAGTCAGGCAAAACGTCAGTATTGCTCGAACAATATTGAAGTTTTGTTCCGCGCCTAGTTAAATATGCACAGCACAGACCCGCATCACTAACAATGCAAGTTGCTAGCAATATATTCTAAAACGCACGACTACGTGAACTACGTTTTTGCAGGCCTTCGCCGACGTTACTTGTTGAAGAGTAGCTGGCATGTAACTGCTACAATCGTGCTTTAATTTGCCAACGCCAAAGAACCTTCCTTGTGGACTTGTAATACAGGGGATCCGGTACAAACTGGGCACGGCGGCCTTCGCCGTACCATGCTTGTGATACTTGTGATACATACCTTCTGATACTTGATGCGTACCTTGTAACACTTTAGTGATACTTGATACGTATCACGTAATACTAGGAATCCGGTACAAATGGAGTACGGCGGCCTTCGCCGACGTTACTTGGTGAAGAGTAGTCGGTATGTAATCACGCTTCCATTTGCCAACGCCAAAGAACCTTCCTTGTGGACTTGTAATGCAGGGGATCCGGTACAAACTGGGCACGACAGCCTTCGCCGTACCCTGCTTGTGATACTTGTGATACATACCTTCTGATATTTGATGCGTACCTTGTAACACTATAGTGATACTTGATACGTATCACGTAATACTAGGAATCCGGTACAAATGGAGTACGGCGGCATTCGCCGACGTTACTTGGTGAAGAGTAGTCGGTATGTAATCACGCTTCCATTTGCCAACGCCAAAGAACCTTCCTTGTGGACTTGTAATGCAGGGGATCCGGTACAAACTGGGCACGACAGCCTTCGCCGTACCCTGCTTGTGATACTTGTGATACATACCTTCTGATATTTGATGCGTACCTTGTAACACTATAGTGATACTTGATACGTATCACGTAATACTAGGAATCCGGTACAAATGGAGTACGGCGGCATTCGCCGACGTTACTTGGTGAAGAGTAGTCGGTATGTAATCACGCTTCCATTTGCCAACGCCAAAGAACCTTCCTTGTGGACTTGTAATACAGGGGATCCGGTACAAACTGGGCACGGCGCCATGATCGCAACCGGCCGCAAAACCCTGATCGTCTTCTCAGAGGAAGCGTCAAGAAAACAATTCTTCACTCATTTTTTTTTTCGCTTGTTTGTGTGTATGTGCCCGGGGGGAGAGGGGATGTTGCTGCGACCACGAGTAGTTCGTGCCCTAAAATAACTTGCACATATCTACAAAAAATTGCCAACCTATTGGGGTAAATAAGTGTTTTGTTCATACGTGAACCATACGACGCCGTTCAAAGCGCATCTGACTAACCCAACGCGCAAACTTATCCGCCTTTTGACGACATTACAGAAACGATGCTTAGTTGTTCTACAATATATTGTTACTCTACGAAGACGCTTAAGCTTGGGGATTTTTCTTATCTTCCATTACGGAAATATAGTACTCAAGAAATAAAACAAATGTCTATCTTAGGCTCAATTTTCGATTTGAGCGGCCCAAAGAAACAAAACAACGTTTTCAGTAATTATTTCCATGCTTGTACTGTGCCACTCTTGCGCACTGACTAGAATAAGGTTTTTACCGTCCTTAAAAAATACCTTGCTTCGATATGGAACATTCATTCTGCTTACTGATTACCAGCTGAACGTAATGAAAAGCGACGAAGAGAGAAAGAAACAAACTGCTGGACTATCAACCCTTTTAATAAACTTCCTTCTCCTCAACCCAATCCTTAAAGGGTAGCTTCATCTTCTTCAGTAAGAGCTTAGACGTAAACTTCCTTTTTTTTCCCCTCACGAACCGTGAAGTTCTCCCCTTCTTCGACTTTCCCCATCTTAAAAAGGTAGCTTCTTCTTCAGTAAGAGCTTAGACAGATCCGTGGAGTTTTTCTCTTCTTAGACTTTCGGATCTTGAAAAACTTCCTTCTTTTTGTCTTTTATACTTCCGGTGGTGTCACCCTCGTTTTACTCGGTCGGATCTCGGAGTCACTAGGTCCCAACTTGGTTCATCCGAGGTGCCGCTCTCCTCAGATACATTTTTTCTTTGGGCAAGAGCGCAATGGAGGCAACACTCACGCATTCTCCCTCCCCCTCCTCAATGGCCAACGCCTCAAGGAGCTCCCTTCCAAGCTGCTTTCGGTGTTTTGCTAAGACGGTAACGCTTGTGAAATCAGGAGCACATTTGCAGACCCGACAATGTGCCGAAAGGTGGCCCGCCGACGTTAGTGCGGTCACAGAGGCTGCATGTTCTCTGGTGCGGTCGTTGATGCACCTCCCTGTTTGTCCTATGTAGCTTTTGCCACATGACATAGGGATCTTGTAAACAACTCCTTTTTCGCATGGGGCGTAGGGTGTTCGATGCGCAGTGCCGCAGGTCGTCGTCCCGTTCTGGGCGGTTTTCCGGTTCACCCTACGGCACATGGCGTACGCCTTGTTGGGGGCGGAGCACACAACGTGGATGCCTTGTCGGCCGGCGATCTTTTTCAACCTATGGGTAATGCCGTGAACATATGGGACCACTGCGAAAGGCTTTGGGGGCTTCTTTCGCGTTGGTTGATTCTTCTCAGGATTTTGTCGCACCTGCCTACAAAGCTTTTCACATACCGGTACGAGGAGGGTACTCGAGTACCCAGAATCCTGGAGTCGACGCAGCTGTTCTTGAAAGCAGCGCCCCACCTTATGAGGGCAGGACTTCTGTAGCGCCGAGACTAAAGCTTTGGTGGCCAGCCCTCGTTTTACGTTTTTGGAATGCTCCGAGGTAAACGGAAGGAACCCCTTACATGAGCGGGGTTCATAACCCCAGCACACGTGGGAAGGCTGAAACTCCAATGAGAGGTCTAAAAACCGTATGGAATTGTTGACGGGAAGTTCATGGGTAAAAGCCAATCCGTGGCAGCTATGTTCGAAGCTACGCATGACCACGTCTAAGCACCCATTACTTTCTTCATGTGCATCAGAGTTGCTTAGTATAAGGAAATCATCAACATACCGAAAGATGGCCTCGATGCGTTGATCCTTTAACTGGTCTTGAATGTTCCTCCCACATGCTGCTAGGAACAAATCACTCAAGTAGGGGGCCACTCGCGACCCGATGCACACCCCGCTTTTTTGTAAGAATTGCTGATCCTGGTGTGACACCACCGTCGCAGAAAGATATGCCGACAGGAGCTCCAAGAAGCTGTCGAGGCTCATCCCTGTTGAATTCTGAAACCCTTGAAGACCCTGTTCCTCAATGGTTTCTTGGAGGATCTTGAGGAGAGCCGAATGGGGAATGGAATGGGGAATGGAATGGGGAATTCTGCGCTGCAACGCAAGAAATGTAAGGTGTTTTTCGCGCTGAATGGTATAACCGACTTCCTTTAGCCTGCACATTTGCTTGTATAGTTCGCCGGAGTTTTCTCCTATAGTTCGCCGGAGTTTTCTCCTATAGTTTGCCGGAGTCTCCAATGGCTTATTCTGTGAGTGAAATTGGGCCTTCAAGCGCTAGTCTTTGAGCCAGATCGACTTCAAGAACGCCTTACTATCATATGTCTTCTTTTTTTTTTTGTATTTCAAAAGACACAGTCACCCATCAGAGACGACTACTATAGCGACTTGGCATGGCATTCGTCATTTGTAGTCACCGAAAGCCTGAGAAACTTAAAACGTAGAGAACCCCGAGCATCCTAGTATCGCTTCGCAGGTATTTAGACTGCAGCATGAGCCGATTAAATACTCCGAAGAACCAAATTATGAACCAAGATGCGCGAAGATAAGGAGCCACGACCTGATGGGACCGATCAAACAGCGTATAAGCGTACCATCATCATGTTTGTCGTGTTTCTGCACCAGCTTTATCATCGCTGAACCAATCGTAAGCAGACAAGACCTAGTGACGTACGCTTTTGAAGCTGCTTGATTGGTCCCCTTACCTCGTAGCGTCTTGACTTAAGCTGAAACGAAGTACAGATATTTGTATGTAGGTTTTGTTATTATTTGTTCACTACAAAGGGAATACTGAAAATGCAATTTATTTAGTTTGTTTCAGGGTTAATTTTTGCCCTTCTTGTTTGCTTATGCTGTGATCTCAATGACTGCGAAACAATAATAAAATGCACGGAACAAATCTTTCTTAAGTTGTCAGTGACGGTAGACGTCTTCTCGCCACTGGTACTTCATCACCATTAGGATTTGTGGCCACAGTCAGTGACGGTAGACGTCTTCTCTCTGGCTAAAGTGATTGGAGGAAGACCATTAATTTGGTGTACTAAATACGTCGCGGGGAGTATATATCAACGAGCTTCTGAGACCATTCGATATTATAAAAAGCCGTCAGGGACTCACTGTCTGCGTCCTGGATCGATCCCGTGAACCCCGTGATGGTAGACGACGCCGGGCATGGTGGGTTTGGAGGACCGGCGCACTCCGACTGAACGTAGTGTTTCCTGCAAGGCATCAAGGAAGATCAGCATGGCTACTGGGGTCTCGTTGATTGTTCACAATGCTTGTCCTATGTCAAAAATAAAACATGAACACAAGATAGACAGGAGAGGAAAGAATACTACGTGGCGTCTCCGCTTAGTATATAGGTTTGTATGTGTCCAGAAGGGAAAATTAGAGGCGTCAGCGTTTGCACGCTTGAACACGTAATTGACATGGTCGCCACGTGGTGAATCTTCATTTAGTTTATGTTAGTAAACACTTGTATGCAGGAGCGTCACTCTTCGCAAAGTCATTCGTCTATTCACACTTTTTCATATTAATGGCCTTTTTTACGTCATCTTTACTTCCAACGATGACGAATGCTCAAGAATGCATATTTGAAGATTAGGTGCAGTCGACGGTTGCACGTAGGTTATTTAAATTTAGGCCTCTTCGCCGTGTAAGTTGAAATAAATTTATGTGAGCCCCTGACTAAAGAAAAGGCACATTGATTCTGTTTCTTTTCCTGCCTGTCTGCTAAATCACATGTTCCCAAACTGTACACTGACGTTTTTATTCGCTCTTATATAAACAAGGCTCTTTTCGTATCAATGCTTAAAAATACGTTTGTTTTTATATGTAACTTTTGAACGATAGATGTCTTCATTTTGACAATATCACAAAACAAATATACATCCAAATCTAGGTACTCACTGGATGTAAATTACAATGTTCTACCTCGCGACGCCGAGTTTTACTGTTTACTGTGAGGACATTTAATTCATTCGTTCCACTCTAAATTATCTCTCTTCTTTGGTGATACTTCAAAGAAAGCGGCGTTCCACAAAGCCCTCAATCATTGAACCAGTTCCTTCAACAATTCCGGTAGCAAACATCAAAACCACTCTGACCCAGAATACCACAACTAAGGGAAGCCCATCTTTCGACGAGAATCCGCCCTAATTAACCCAATACTCAAACCCCAAAACGACTTCATCTTGCAATGCTGTGCCGCTCCCTAAGCGACCGAAAAACTCCAAAGGAACTCGAAGTCATCAAGTCCCCTGGAACGTGGTGCTGCGCGCGCCAACAACGTCGACTCCCGCTTCTATAGCATATTCCGACTTTTACAATATCATTTTGGGACTTCCGTTCAATTCGATTGATTTATCGATTCAACCGCCCGCCCGGTCGACTCCGCTGCCGCCCCGGCATTCGTGTTCATCCATCACGACCCCCCTCCCCTCTTCCCTACTGCCGATACTTCCTGCTATTCCATGGAAAGGAGGTTTCGTTTACGCTGGAAGCCAAACGTCGATGTACGGGGAAGGATTAGCATTGATCGCTCGGCTCGCTCGCAGCAGAGTCTTTAACGTCGAAGCATGCTTCGAAATGGGGGATGGAACGAGGAAGGGAAAACAATGAACGGACTCAAATGTGTCAAGGTACTACATAAATTCCCTAGAAGCGTGCGCGCAATTCCTCCGCCGGCCGAGACAAACACCGATACGGATACGACCCTTCTTTCTTCAAAGCTGAGCAGAGGGGGAAAAGGAATTTATCTGTGTTTTCTCAGATGACCCTTGGTTTGTGTCACCAGGGTTTGTGTGCGGGGTCGAGCAGCTTTAGTGGGTCATCTGCTTTTGTTACTGAAGTAAAATAAAGCGTTTGCGTGGCTCTGTCATGAGGCGTGCCGGACCCATGTGTACGCATGTAACTTGCGTACGTTATTTCCGTGGATGTAATATACACGCGTGAATCTGTGAAAGACGTGTGACACAGTTGTACGTTTATCTGCAGTGCCTATCTTGCGTGCTCATAACACACGTTTATTTATATCTGAAGTTCCAGATAACATGCATGCAAGAATGTGGAGACATCTCATGGGACGCAAATGAGGCACGTTCACATCAGCCTGAAGTGGGTTTATGAAATGCGTATGTGACACACATACTGCACGCACGAATACATTTTATGTGCATGTGTAGCGTGATAAAACACAAATAAAGCAAACGATAGTAGCGAGCTGAAAAGGGAGAAAAGACATGCGCTTGTTCTGTCTTCGTCTAGAACAGCTCTCGTCGTTCCATCTTTCTGTTGTTGATCTTTTTATATTCGTTCAACTCACCCTTCAAACTATTATGGTGTGCAACATGCTCGCAGTTGACAGTTTGAGGAACATGCGGCAGGATAACATGTTCCGAAACGGATGTCCTGTGTAGGTATGACACACCCGTGTCACGCGCAGGACGTGTGTTTTGAATGCATGTAAAGCATACCTGAGTACATTCGTGTCTGAGAGTTTCGACTGGAGCACGGTGACGTGCGTCTGAACTTGGAACGTGATGTATGTGCGACTAATGTGCGACCCGCATTTATGTGCATCTTCCGAGGCACGATGATGCTTGTGAGCGTATCTCTGACACGGGCACGCATCCGGTATGTGTGCGACACAAGTATGGTCAGAATGTATGCATCTCAGATAACTGCAATTCACGGACGCAGTTACTACGCGGCACGTGGCATGCACACATCGACAAGTAATGTTCGTCTGACACATGTCATTGGCACGTCTAGTTGAGTCTAGGGCGGGTGCACAATGCTGACCAATGTGCATTTGTGGGGACTCGTCAAGCTGCGACTGTTGCAGCTTTACGTACCTGCTACCATCCTCCTTGTAGAAACAAATGACGCATTCAACTAAACGGAGCCCATTACAATTTATCTGAAAAGGGCACGTGGTGCATCTGAATCGCATGACCAATTTGTCTGTAACACAAATTCATTGGTTTAGTTTATCCGATACAGGCCCAAAACGCCAATAACTGTTCACAAAAATATATGTATATATCGAAGTATTTTACTCTGTTTCGCCTCGACTACGACAAAATCAGAGCCTTCGGTAGCGTGCTTCGTGGTCTAAGTGCGTTTGCCGTGGTCGATCCCACAATGCTCTGAAGCATTACCTGGAGGGTTCACTCTAACGCGAGCAAGTATAGGCAAGGCAGAACCCACGCTAGAAACTCCGGAAGTAAACTTGACAACTCCGGAAGTAAACTTTACAATTTCAGAAGTAAGCTTGGCAACTCCGGAAGTAAACTTTACAACTCTGGAACTAACTTTTCTATAGTCACTATATAGTTCCTGATAGACTTTTAAAAAAGCAGGGCTTGGCGAGGACCGAGCACCTGAATATCGTTTCGCAGCCAGTGAGGCTGCAGCATTAGCAAATAAGAACGCGGAACAGCCAATCGCGAAGCGAGAGGCTTAAATTAACATAATAGGTCACACCTTGCGTTTCTTAGATTGTCGGTGACTGCAGTGTGCGGAGGCTTGACAATGTCTGTTGGAGCACGCTTGCGGATACAGCCTAATCGCGTTAAGGGAAGACATGACGATCACCGACAACAACGTACCCGATGTAGAGTAAGACGACAATCAGCAGAAGCAGGGTGAAGCTGAGGATGAAGATAATAAGGCTCTTGTCGGATTTCTCTGCTCCAGGTGACAAAGTGAGGTAGGGAAACGGGAAAGACAACAAAAACAACCAACTTAGTTAAGTCATCGGCGTTGGGGCTTAATAGAACCTCGTAATAGAATCTCAACACGTTAGGTTACTGTCGAATGCTACGAGTTCACGTTATACAACTCGTGGGCACTACATCGATCCTCGTTTATTCGTGGCTTGCATTGACGCCACATCTGCTACCACTGTGGTGGTTTTGTTGCTTAATGCGTATTTTTTCCGGGGTACATCACCGCCCAATTTGTTTGATTACCAGCAGGCTACGATTACGTCACGTCCAAGCCACGTATAGCTCAGCCACGAAAGTTCATCACGCGTATGCGTACACCCACCGGCAATATGAAGGTGAACACCTTACCTGGTTTCTTGCCTGTTTTACGGCTCCCTAAAGCTATATTAACTCTCAACGTCTCAAATGGTACGTGGCTTGGGGGTCTAAACTTTGCCTTCTAGCCGTCTTCTGGAACAGAGCTTGTTCCAAAACTTGCAGGAGCGTCAAAAACAAGAAGAGGGCTGTTCACCTTCACGTCGCTCATGGGTGTACGCTTCGTTAAAAATGCATCTCTTTGCAATCCGAAAGTTACGAGGAGAACGTACGTGACGGTTGGGTTAACTATAAACATTTTAGACCAGGAAACGTAGAGTTGACACAAATAGTTGGTAGATCACCGCAATTATAAAATTATTTAGCTTAGAATGCTTTAAATAATAGGTTAACCTTCCTCTCGGGTGCCTCTTCTACCAAGAGAAGCAGTAAAAAGACACAGAATAAAGTAATTATGACTTTAATGAACAATTTTTTTCTAACTGCTAAACTACAACGGGAGTAGCTCTGCGGTAGCAGAGCACAAACCTAGAAGGATACGAAAACAAATCAAAGTAACGATTGGCTGACGGAGCGCGGACCACGTGGCTTTGATTAGGAGACACTGGACAGAATTTGCAGTTTTGTATTTACAAATAAGGCAGGAGGAAAGGCGGTCCACTCACCGGGCCTGCAGACGTACTTCCAGTAGATGAGCTCCCTCTGGTAACCGTTCTCGCAGTCGCACACATTACTCACGCACAGCGCATGCTCGTCCATCTCGATGCACTGGTTGTGCGAGTAGCACTGGCTCGGGAAGAAGCCTGCAACGAGACGCAGAAGCGATCAAGGACCAATGCCTCGATCTAAGGAAGACTTCGAATACACTCGCGAAATTCCCGCACGCGTAGTGACCTGTGATGCGCTCGTATAGTGCCAATCATTGATCGGCTTTTCAAGTGTTACAACTTGGCCGGTAAGCAGGAACACCGCCATACGGCGAGAAAGTTCGTCTGCTTCTTTTGTAGAGGGTACAGTGACGTAATAGCTCTAAGCTCTGATTGGAAGATGTGGAGGGTACTCAAACGCGGCGTCGCCTGCTAGTTATAGCAACAGCTGCTTCGCGCCCATGAACCTATGTTCGTCGTTTGGCCAGTATTCTGATAATTCAAGATTCTAATTAAAAGAACAGTTTCGAAATACTTGATACAGTCACTGCAAACAAAAGAAACGCAGGGCGTGACAAGCTCTGATTGTTTTATTATCGCACTGTAGGAAACAAGGTTGAGGAATTAGCTGATTACTACGTGCAGAGACAGTTCACCAAAACCCGCGTCAGTTACTATAATACACCGTATTTGGGGGGGGGGGGGGGGGGGGGGGGGTAAGCATAAACCTTATTATAAAAAATAAATAGTCTTACGAAAGAAAGTTGTCAAATTCGTTGTGCATATGTACAAGTGGTGTGCCACGTGACGTGGCATTGTGAAAATCTTGAGCGTTGATGTTCAGTAAATCATCATCTTTGCTGTGCGTATGCAGTCTCTTTTTTTTAGAGCGCAGCTCTTAGACGCCCGTTTCTGGATTGAGCGGCGTCGCCGTCGGTGTCCGCGCCGGCGTCCGCGTCGGCGTTACCGCGCGCGTTGCATTATGGGACGTCGCCATTTCCCTGCTAAATTTAGCGGGGAAACTGAATTGGTGTTGAGGTCATGCGACATAAATTTCCCAGCTAAATTTGACGGGGAAACTAAACCCGCCAAATTTAGCGGGAAATTTTCCCCGCTAATTTACTGAGAAATTTAGCAAACATTTCTCGTTAAATGGGAGGCGAAGATAAGAGGAGGGTCCGCAGGGGAGGGGGAAGGTCATACCCTCCCCTCAGTACCTTCCCACCCTCTTCCTTAAGAGCTACGCTCTAATTTCGCATTAAAGAGAATTGCAAATATCTTTATTTCTTTCTTTTTTTTTTTTTACTATGCGTTAATAGATATATTTCGTTTGCGCGGTTGTCTGTCTCCAATGTTGCTTCCTTTTTTTTTTCCTTTTCTTTTTTGAGTTTTCTTCTGTTAATGATAGAAATTGCATTGTATGGTTATTTTTTTTAGTGCTGCAGAAATGCCAGTGTCCTCACATTACCATTTCCTGTGGCTTCGTCAAGCTGTCCTTGTGACAGCTTTTACCCAGTATAAAAGGCTCTGCTTTTACCAGGATACCTCATCGTCAAAACTAAATTGTAGCATTATTCGCGCGCTAAGAACAACGCCAACTCACTCTTACTGCAACAAGAGTACAAGAAGACACGGAAAAACGTGTTTGCGCGCCGCAAAAAAAAAAAAAAAAATTACAGTCCGGAATTATGGCTAAGGAAACAATAGCTCGGACAAGAGAACAGTGAAAAATGACACAAAACTTCCTTTTATTTTATTTTTTTTTCTCGGCCAACAACCGGTATTGTTCTCCCGTGATTTTATCTTCTCATTTGTCTTGCCTTTCTTCTTCTTTTCTTTCTTTTTTTGGCAATGCCGAGACATCAGAACGCCAGTGTACCATCTATCCGAATCCGCAGCGCGCATTAGGTATGCAAATATGTTTCCGCGCTGCGGGAAGCTATTGTTTTGTTTTTCTTTGTTAGACGTGGCTGTTCTATCAAGCGACGCTTTCGCATCGACTCAAGCGGTATGCACACGCACCTTTCGCGGCAAGAGTCGTCTTCGAATCGCTTATTCACGCGGTCACTTATACGCCACCAGTCGTGTTTCGGGGTATGAATTAAGCGGCTTATGGTACGCACCATCAAACTGCTCGTACACCATACAAAAGACACGGTGGGCGCTGCGGACATATGATGACAAAGTTATGTGCGGAAAAGTCTCGAGCATGTTTGCTTCATACGTTTGCATGCTTCTAACATGTTTGCCGACAGTTTTTACAGCGGGGCTGTTAGGGGCTGGTTTTCCCAGTATCGTGTCCAACAGCAAACAAGTGATGACACAAAAATCTCGACAGCTACCGCCATCTATGAGCGACAGCGGCAACCAGATAACCGGCTCGCTGGTTGTTTGGTTGCAATTGTCGCTCATAGATGGCGCTAGCTGTCCGCTTGCTGGTTGTCTGATGGCCGCCGTCGCTCATAGATGGCGGTAGCTGTCCAGCCTTTCCACTCTAGCTTGCCGACTTGCGGCCGGCCATTACTTCATTCCTACCATAGTAGAACTTTGCTGACCTCCCTTCTTCACCACAGTGAAAAGGCTGAAATTGTTTTTCTTTTGTTTGGGACCAATAATGGCAGCACCGTCGTACAAGGAAGAAACGCGCCTCAGTCAATAGGGAGTTTTAGGGAACCGTGTTTGCACATCAGATACGGTATACGATGGGCCCGTTCCTTCCGGAGGGCACATCGTATCATATCGGATGTGCAAAAGCGGTTCCCTAAAACTCCCCAACGTCTACGGACAGTCTTTTGTACGATGCATTATCAGTACGAACGCGGTTTTACACCTGAAACCACATGCGATCGATTCCAGTTTCAAAAACCAAAAATTATCTGCTTTGCGCTTTGGCCGCGGGGCTGCGTAAGTTTTTGCTGCAGTCTTTGTAGATTCAGATACGAGCAAAGCTCCTGCGTTTTACTCCTTCGTGTGTTCTCCGCCGAGTGGCGCTGCCTCCCTCATTTGCGTAAAACCGGGATTTTAAAATACGGCGCCTGGAACGCGCCTGCGACTGGTGCGTTTACCAAATCCTCAAAAATATGACCCCCTGGATATTCCGCCTTATGACGTCATACAAGTGTCCTGCTATGGCTCACCGCGATCCTGGTGGTATAATACTGCAGCAGGGGTGGATGCGGCAGACGCCTGTTGTACGGTAGCTCGCTCTCAGCTCAGCAGTTCACGGCAGCTTCGGCAGCATTGAGTTGGGACGCAGTGGCGACAGCGACCCTCGCGTCTGCACGCCTTTTTTTACAGCGGATCTGTTCAGGGCTACTTACCCCAGAATCGTGTCCCCGGCAAAGAAATGAAGACACCGAATTCTGGACACCTACCGCCATCTATGAGCGACGGCGGCAAGCCATGCACCTGGTTGCCGCCGTCGCTCATAGATGGCGGCAGCCTTCCCACTCTGGCTTGCCGACTTGCGGCCGGCCATTACTTTCCATTGTACAGCTTCGCTGGTCTTCCTTCACCAGAGTTGAAAGGCTGAAAGTTTTTCGTCAGCATTTCTTCGAGCAACCATCACGGGGTGCGACACCCACCGGCATAAAACGCCGGCTCCGGTCAAGCAGCCTGTCGCCATTTAGGAACCTCTTTCGAAGCACGGCCGTGATAAGCGGGTAAATGCGGCATAAACTGTAGTAAAGTTCACACTTGGGCAAGTTGGTAGTATAACATATTCAAGTATTAGCGCACAAAATAGAAAAAGAATAACTCCGTGCGCTAATAACTCGATATATAAATACACCAGTCGAAGACACGCTTCAGGCACCATAATTTCGCTTGACTAGAGATCTATACAACCTCCGTGGGTGCGTTTTGTTTTTTGTTTGTTTCCCTGACGCCAACGGGAAAAGGTTTGCCGTCCCCTCACCGGTAACGCAGACGGGCACTCCGTGAAGGAACTCGATGCGGAAGCCCTTCTTGCACTGGCATTGCCAGTGGACGCAGTCCGAGTGGGCGTCTCCCAGCTCGCACGCCGTTCGGGTGATGCATGTCTCTCCCAGCCGGCGCTCTGAAACGCCGCGGGCAGCACAGGTCAGCTCTTGCACAACTGGCGAGCACAACCTTGTATCGCAAAATAGGGTTCGGCCATATGAGCTAGTCCAGCGGCATTCGGGCCGGGGAGGCACAAAAGACGAGCAACGAGGCCCAGGAAGGTACGTTAAGCTGTTAACAAAGAGATTGGAATGGACTATCATATTTCCTTTTGTCGCAATGCGGCAGTCGGTTTCAGAGCGTAGCATGCCGGAGAGGCGCACTCTATGCAGAAGTTTAGCCCTTTCGGCTAGCACTAAACTAGGCCAGCTCATATTGCTGCTGACTGTACATCCTCACCTTATAAGGTAATTTATCAAACTCCTCTACAAAGGCGGGGACGGGAGACACACTCGTGGAGCTGCAGTTCCTCGTCAATTCAGGCTCATGACGTCACTTTTCGAAGGAGGAGTTTTTGCGCATGCGCAGTAATCCCTGAGAAGAATCAGGTCTAACCTTTGTTTTTTTAGCCCTATCATTACGTGACTTTGGAAAGAGAAAAAGGGAGGAAAGAGTTCTGCGGCAGCCATCTTGAATACGCGGTTTTTTACAGTATTTAACTGGCTCTAGTTGAGCTTCTTGGTGCATAATACTATAATAGGGACAGCTAAAGTTAGGAAAATAGAATTCAGAAAGAAAAAGGGACAGACATACCAGCGGTATGCCTGTCACTTTTCCTCTCTATATTCTATTTTACAGTATTTTCGAGCAATTATTAGGGTATAGTTTTACCGACAATAATAGATCATTCTGTGAACGCATACGTGGAAGCAATGTCTCGTTATCATAAAGTATGAATAAAAAAACATCATAAGATATTTAAGTGAAACAGCCCTGCAGGTACCAAATACATTATGAAAGCATGCTATAGACGTTTTCAAACAGCCGCACTTCAACAGCTAGTCTGGCCACCGTGGATGAAAAACGCTTCGTTTAGGTGCCAGTCTGGAAACCGTGGGACGCCTTAACAATGCTTGGCCATAACACGATCCTACACACACCAGAAGCAAAATGGCGGCGCCCAGAGGCTGCAATGACGAAGCATAAAAGCTCGCGCCGTCAATGGTTGAGGTCAGGGAAAAACAAAAGCATAAGGACGCATTTGGCGGGTAAACAAAGGCACGAGGTGCGCAAGGTGAAGAGAGTCTTGCGCGTCGTATATCCAGCAGGTTTCTGTAGTTATTTATCAAAAACACACACGCAAGAAAAATTGGTTATGATCACTTGGTAGGATTCGTAGGGGAAAGGCAGAAAAACGGGCGCTTTCCGAATATAACTTACACCTGAGGTGATCGCCGTACCACACCAAATTTAAAAGTAGCCTTTAAGCTTGTACGAATCTTCTGCGCATGTGCAAAATTTCTGCTGCAGCGCATGCGCAGTTCGTACCGGAGGGCCCATAGTACTGTATCGAATGGGCAAAAACGGTACCCCTTGAACTCCCTAGTGTCTCCAGCCTGTCTTTCTGTACCGGGTATTATCAGTGTCGCCGCGGCTTTAAGCGATGCGAGATAATTTGATCAAATAAACAAATAAGAACGGTTGACAACCCAACAACTTGGAAAGAATGAACTGTCAAAATTTTGAGGTGCCTTTCCAAAGTTGAAGTCGACTTACCGGGCTCTTTGTTGTAGTTCTGGTGATCTATAAAGCGAATTTGAGAAAACATAGAAACGAGAATCAATTAAAAACTACGCAGCACAAACAGTTCCAAAGAAGAGAAGTGCATCGCCTCATTAAACAAAAGTTCAGCGAAGTCAGTTTAATGTTATGGTGTCTTAATTGGGTGGGCTTCATCGATCCTTAAGAGCCCCGAGACATGTTTCCATCTACAATTTCTTATAGTGCGAATACCGGAGAATACAAATACGCGTTCAACACCACTTAGACTAATTGAGAACCTGTAAATGTCGCTAATGTATTTTGCGTTGAGTGAAGCCGACAGAGTGTTCCACGACTACCTCTTGAGCTTCTAAAATATATATATCATGAAAAGTAGCATACATTTCGCTCACAATACACAGAGTAAGAATAACTTTTTGTGGCTATATTTGGTAGACGTGTATCTTGTTTTAGTTCCGTATATATTACAATATAAAACATTATTGATTGCCGATACAACTGATCTTTGCCGCGTCTGGTAGCACCGCATTTAGAAGCACAGCAACAGTGCTTGTTCTGCAACCTCCAAACGATTTTGAAATTGATTCTTCCAATATTATTCGTATTGATATCAACAAACGTTGTATCACTGTGCGCTCGTGAAGTTACCGCTAGATGTTTTACATTAAAGACCCAAATGGTAGCGCATCGACCAAACTGAACTCTGTATGGCGATGACATCAGACATGACAACAAAATCATTTTGGATAGTTTGAATAACCGAGTGTTTCACCTATCGATTACTGTTACTCTCAATAGATGTGTCATCCACTTAGTTTTCAAAGCCCCGTATCGGAGCAGACGCAACTGACACCGAAGAGGACGCTATAACAACGCCAAAAATCCAAGCTTTGATGTCGCAAGCCCAACTGATTACGACACGAATCTTTTTTACCTCGGATAGCTATACACACGTATGCAGCAATTATTTCTGAAGATCTCGATGAATGCTCCCTCGTCAAAACTCAACACGTTTTTTTTTTTTTTTTTATTTCTTTTTGTCGTTTTTTTATTGCGTATATGTTTTTACTTTTCTTTTTCGTAACCGGAGTTTGATGCGTCCTCCCTATTGGGAGAGAAATTTCCACACCGCGCGATCGATACCGAAACGCAATCCGTAGCTCCGAGCTTCAGCTGACCGGCTTGTGAAATCAATCCGCCCTTTAAAAAGATATATATACATATATATTGTACAGAGGCACACCGGTGCAAATTCATCCATCACCGTTTTTGTTTGAGTAATAATAGGAAAATAAATGACCCCCGCGATATCAAATTGAAAGTGGACGCACGGTTCAGTGAAAGAGCGAGAAATAGAGAGAAAGAGAGAAAGAAGTTTCCCTCCCCCTCTCCGCTGGAAGTGGGTCATTTTATGACGACACGCAGTAGCCCCCTCTCTTCACTTCCGGTCTCGCATCAAGCCGTCAGGCTCCTTGATTTTTCTGTTTTTGTTTTTCTTATTCTGTTGCAGATTTTTTTTTATATTAAATTGTGTTGGACCAAATATGAAGACCCTGCTTTGCAAGAGCCAACGACGCGTTCAGATAATGTATCGCCGAGCGTCGGTCTTTGCCTCACGACAGAAAATTTATGCGGCGAAGCGAGCTTAGAAGGGGCATCAGCTCGCTTACAATGTAGCGGGTTTGAGGCTTCTAGATTCGTTACTCGCTTTGGCCGCGCATTGGGTCGACACTATCTGCGCTTATGCAATTTTGGTGCGCACAGGGCACTAAATTTAACATCGATTAGTTTCATAACTATCTATTGAATGCATCAGAAATGTAATCGATGCTTTTTGGCAGCAAGTGCCGCAGAGCATTGTGGTTTCGTTACATTTTTCCGCAGAATCCTTTGCATAAAACGCTGGATGTGGCGCCAAGTGACACAATTCTGGCCTCGTTCGACTTCTTATTTGATTGAATATATCTTTAATATAATATTTTATCCTCTCAATCATTCCTCTCATCGTACAATACCTCTCGCACAACTAACTCAACGCGGGAAAAAATAGCGATCATCTGTTATCGTCACGCAACAAGATGGGCTGCGCGAACCTCAAATCGAACGAAGCCAAACAAAGCAACAGATCCTGTTAGGTTCGTATTAAACAACCCGTCGTCTGACAACAGTGAATGACCCGCGTACACAGATTCTTATCTTAATTTCTAACGGACAAGCGCCTTAAGCCTACCTCGCTACAGCAGGCGAAAAGCTCTGTTCACATCGGGAGTTTTAACTCCCTCGACCACACGCTAGGCTTGCCTCTCCAGCTTTGTGCCGAGACAGTAGCTTCAGATCCCTAAATAACTTACCCCACGCATTTTTCAGTTTGTTAATCAGTACCATTCGCTTTCATATGGAGGACCAGCGAAATAAATCAAACAAAACATAAACCTCCGGAAACCTGGTCAGCTTTCGGGACAGAACCCCGTTCCCACGAAAGCATCACACCTCCTTGTAGTGCGATGCTGCAAAAATGGAGTCACTACACGGCGTATTCGCGTGGTACTCACTGAACGCAGAGTTGGCGTAATCCACGAACGATGTAGCCAAGAAGAGCAGCGTTCCGTACAGAGTCAGCATTCCAGAGTTTTGTCGACAGCGATCATCGCTCCTCCATGCGATGTCGGCTCTGCGCTGCTTCGCTTCCCGCTGTCCCGAGGGAAGAGGGAAGGGGAGGGAAAAAAACGGGGAAAGAGGGAAATGGGTCGTCTTCTTCCCGCAGCCGATCTTCCCCTCTTCTCCCTAACCGTGCGGCTCGGTCCAGTCCTCGAAAACCGCTCAATTTCCCTTCTCGAAAACGTCGCGTCGCCGAGACTCAAGGCCTAACCTTGAATAATGTGGTCGCTTTCCACCTTGTCTTGTTTCGGTTGTTGTTCTTGTTGCTTGGCGAAAGGCGACAACGCCGACGCTAGAACTCCCTTCGGAAACGCGGAGCGTTTGGCGTCGCCGTCGATGGGGAGAAGGGCAGAACGGACGCCATGTTGTCTCCCACTCTCTCCCTTTTTCTAGTTGTCTTTCCGTTCTTCTCCTGTTTGCTCCCTCGCCCTTTTTTCTCTCCTCCGCGCGGTGTTGCCAGACTGCGCTGTGAAGCGGTTGGCAACAAGAGGTCCCGCCGCCTGCGAAAAGAGGCAGCTGGGGAAGCGGGTTTGTGCGGGTAGCAACGTAGGGAGTCTAGGGAAACGCGCGGTAGAGCTCGACGTGCTCGTTTCGTACTCGTAGTCTCGTATTCAATTGAGTTTCAACGTTTTTGGATAAAATATTATCTAAAAAAAAGGTAATTGTTAGAAAGCGTATTTGTGTTTCCTCATTCAATTTCGGCAATCCGTTTTCCCCTTTTCTTGTAATGTTTATTGCGACCTTTTTCTTTTTTTATTGTTACTGTAAGTCGGCCTTTGTCTGAATATTTTTCCATGCGTGTAATTTTCATGTAACGGACGATAGGATTGTTTTCCCATGGCATTTAGTAATAAATACGACAATGTTTTTCTTGCACTATCCATAAATATACCTTTGCAGCCATTGAAATTATCTAGTTCGATACGAAACTGGTGAGCAATTTTTCTAATGTAATTTAATAATTTCTTATTTACATAATTTTTAGTTGAGTATTTTCCAAGAGTTACAAAAACACAAACTGTTCATATCTGTTTCTCCTAAAATGGCCCACTTCTTCCTAAAAACAAAAAAAAAAAGTATAATTTTATTTATTTTTGGTTATAATAAGCTACAACTAAATATTCTAGGCGAGTTCCAACCTAATTTAACTCCATTTTATTTTCGTTGCTTCATTTCACAAGATAGCGTGTCAAAGATATCAAGAATCTTCCAAGAACTAAACGTGCCTGCTCCCGCAAGCTGGCTTCCCCACTGAAAGAGAAATGATGAGGCGAAGACACCGTTCAAGGAGCACCTTCGTTTTTTGCCTAAAGGTAGCCCATCAAACATGATGTATTGATGCGAGCTCAAAACGCGTCAATATTTTCTGCATAACGACGCACTTAAAAATAAAAATTCTAAACGGAGGGGTAGCTTCACTTTAGCGAGCGTAGCCAGCCCCATCGCAATAACCATCGGCCTCTCCCGAAAAAAAAAAAAAAAGAAAGGGGGAAAGGAAGGCATCATGTCCTCCGAGCAAACAGACAAGCCTCTTCGGCGCATCGAAGTCGCCTTCTAGGAGCAATCATGGTCGTTCCGGCGGTTCCAAGCTAGGCTTTTCATCGTTGCTAGAAGAGCGTTCGATGAAGGCGATTCCCTCGAGACATAAATGAGGAATGCTTCGCCGCTTCTCCTCATCTTTTGGATTCAGTTGCTGCAACAGTTCTGCTCCACGACCCATGGCGGTGAGCAGACCACCTCCCTCCTCCACCTTCCCTTCACCACTTCCACCAAGTTGAATCTGTTGATCGCAATGCTTTTCTGTTGATGCCTCGACTTGCGCGAGAAAAAGTTTCATCCAGTCTTAGACGCGATCCGTTATGGCGGCCGCCAGCAGCTTTTCACACGAAAGAGCCTAAATTTATATAACAGAAAAATCAGAACTGCACGCACGCGGAGTATGTAGGGCTCTGGTCAGGCCAAACTTAAATGTCAGAGGTCAGATCCGGCTCGGGCTGCTTTGGGACTCTGAATAAGTTTACTCCGTGTAATAGTTTAAGACTTTTTGTTAAACACTTTATTTCCCTTAGTTTCTCTGGGTTGTGCTTTCTTTTAGATCCTTCTTTTGGCGGGATCAATAACGATCCTAGTTTATTCTCGGGTCAAGATGAAATCGCGAGAGTTCGCTGGCCCCGCGTAGGAGATCCGGAAAATGGATTGCCCAAAAATGGAAACGTCGGTCGCTCAATCGAAACGAGGCGGTAGCGGCCCATGACGTACTGCTCGCTTACATTTAAAACAAAAAAGAAATTCTAATTGATCATGGCAGGAAATAAAGAAGCATAAACCTTAACTATTATGTTTTTAATACGCTCGTGTTTGCGCTTCGCGTGCTTTAGATGCGTTCGATACCAGTGTTTTGGGGGTCTGCTTTAATTGCATTTATATTTCGTGCTCTTGGTTAGTTGGTTCCAGCAGGTCTAGTCATTTATTGCACGAGAGTTTAGAGCAAGGAGGTTTGGGCGTAAGGGTGCAAAGAGTGGGGAGTTTCCTACACAAGGTAATCGTGCCCTCCGAAAAATCAAGGAACACATTTTGTATTCTAACATTTTTGCGTCAATATTACAACATAAACGAAGCACAGTAATCGGCATCTTTTATAAAGGACAAAAAAATATTCAACCGCGTAATACTAAGCATTCGGAGAATCTTCGGCACAGTCCACATTACGCGAACAAGCAAACGGCACTCCTCGCCAATATCATGACGGCATCTCTCGTTGCGTGGTCATAACAATATTCATTACAGATTCCTCGCGAACGCGTTCTTTTTGCTTGCCGGTGTGTGGCGCTCAAGTGCAACAAAGGTTACTAACAAAGCGTCTTTGCCACGCACGTGAGCAGCGCCTGTTAGATGTGCGCTTAGTGAGAACACGTTTACAAATATCGACGAATGCAAAACAAACGAAAGTCTGCTCGTCCCTTAACGAAAGAAACAGGGATATAATGTGAAGAATGTCTCTTTGGCCCCAACCTCGGGCTCAAGCTTCCTGCCTTCGATAGTGCTTCGGCGTCTCGCGAGCCTCGAGCGTGCGCGCGCACCCAAAAGCGTGACGGAAGGCAATGAGCGCGCTGGAGGCAGGGCATTTAAGAAATACGCAATGCTGTTCTTATCCTCTCAGTAACTATAGCTTCGCTTGATGGACAATTAACAGAGATTGGCCGTAAACCTTAATCGTAGAAACTGTTCGAAACTGTTCGTTTCCTGACGGCCACTCTCGTCGATTTGCAGGAGCCATTGGCGAGCGGTGTGCTCAAAACTCCGAATGCCGAAACCCCGAGCTGGTGCAGTGCAAGGACGGCGTTTGTACCTGCAAGTTCGGTCAGGCTCCTTTAGCTCCCACACAGTGCAAGGAAGGTAAGGCGTCCGAACTCAACCCTCACTTATTCGGACGAATTGTAATACAACGACACTCATTAAAAAATATAAATAAATATCTTTTTTTTTTATTTTTTAAGTGGAAATGCAAGAAATTTTTGCGAAAACGACACGCTGAAAACGTAATAAAAAAAAACATTGTGGTTATTGGGCAGTTTTTGTTTCATGATTTCAAACGTGTGGAAATGCACTGTAAAAAAAAGTATTTTAGGTGCATCGCTTCCCATTGCACGAGAGGCAGCCTATCGCAGTGCGATTCGACATCTTTTTTAATAACGTAACGACACGTGACCAAAAACGCTAATGAACTCTTTTTTTTTTTTTTTTTTACAGACAATAGCGGACCGCTATGGCGGAGCGGAAGTTCGTCTGCTTCTTGCAAAGGGGTTACGATGACGTCAGAACGACGCCGAGCTCTTATTGGCTGATTGAAAAAAAAATAGTGGGTAGACCTGAAGGCATCTAGCATTGATGCCTACCCACTATCCTTTCGATCAAAGCCAATCAGAGCTCAGCATTGTTCTGACGTCATCGCAACCCCTTTGCAAGAAGCAGACGAACTTCCGCTCCGCATTATTTCAATCTGGCATCTCTTTTATGGTTCTCCGTCGGAGCGGTCGCCATTCGCACATTTCTTTCTTTTTAAAGCTATGTGAATATTCGGAGCGTATGTAGGGTGATTATATATATATGTGCCAGTATTCTCCGCATCAGTTTTATTTACATTATTTGCATATTTCGTACAGGAGTTAATTTGACAAAACTTTTCCGACGAATATGTGTCATGCAACTCTACCTCTTCAGTACACTTCGGTGTACTTACAAATAAAAGCAAAGAACCAAAACGCCAAAATATAATAACAGCAACTAAAAACCAAAGTCATATAAGAAGCATAAGCATGGTTATCAGCGTTTCAATGAGCATTTTATCGAAACACCGGAAAGCCGTTCTGTAGGTCCCTAAGGCATTTTTAACGCTTGATAAATTGGGAAATTAAATCAAGCAGTCACCATCTATCCATTCTGCTTAGTATAGTTTTATGGAGTGCAGTTTGTTTGTGCGCGTGGATCTGTTTACGGTATCTGGATTCCGTATCCGAGTGGTGCGTTTACCCTGCCTGCATCAACTTCGTGACGTCACAACAGACTCATCATAGTCGTTCACCGCGTTCCTGGTGGTGACAGTGCGGCAAAGACGTATCTGGCAGAATCCTAATCCGTCCAACGCTGCGCACTGGTTTGCCTCTCTCACAATGTTAGCTCGCTTTGTAGTCACCCAATCGAGGGAAACTCCCGCAGTCACCAGTTCGGATGCTGCGTCTGTTATCTGCTGCGTTGTCGTTTCCACAACCGACCACCAGGATAGCGACAATTCATAACGCTGCTTAAGCCTGGATTTTAAAGAGTGGGCAACTTAAACTCAGGCGAGCGCTGTAAACTCACTGGCTGATCCCGTGCAAATTAGTTGCACATGTGCGCATGCGCGCGTTGTCACGTGACCAGAAGGCTAGCGGGCAGAAAGACGCAGATGCTCGCAGACGATCAACGCTTCCGTAACCTCGTCGTATCTTGTTTTGCAGACCTGGCCTATAAAAAAAACATTGAAGTATTTGGAAGCACTCTCAAACTAAGGCACGCTAGCGTTCCTAAGTATAGCTCCTGCGTTGGACATATTTCGGTGCCACTCTTGGGAACAATCCGAACCACGGGCGGAACAGAACGCCTAACACCACAGTCAGAAACGGGTTTCATGCGCCGTAGTTCTGGTTGCGGTTCCTGCAACGCGTCTTCGGCTGATGCATATGGTGCCTATCCCACACCATTACGTCAAAAATAACCCCGAAGTGGCAAAAAAAAAAAACGTCTCAAAAGCCGGCGCCTAACGTTGCTTGATGTCGGGACCCTAGCGGATGGCGCCAGAAGCCTGGCAAAAAGTACGGATGGATGTGGATGAATGGATGTTAAGGATTCTACCCTTCGTATCGGGCGGTAGCTTGCGCCACCTAGCCTAAGACGAGTGAACACGAGTGTCGCTGTTGTCGCAGCGGCCCAACTCCTGGCTGCCGAAGCTTCTGTGGACTGTCAGGCTGGCGAGCGACCTTCAGCAAAACAGGCATCTGCCTCATCTACCCCCGCCGCCGTGAGACCGCCCTAGGATCGCAGCCGGTGACAACGCGACAATGCTATATGACGCCATCAGGCGGTAATCGAGAGACGACATTTTAGCACGCGGTATTAGACCAACCAGTCGGAGACGCGCTCCAGGCGCCGTAGTTCTGGTTGAGCAGACGCCAGTCCGGCCACCTCGTTGAAAGATTGTGGCGGGCATTGTGCAGCCTCCGCAGTGACGCAGAAGCCCGACCCGGAGACCAGGGAGTGCTACACGGACCACCAGTGCTACCGGGGCTACTGCTGGGACGGGACGTGCCACTGCAAGGATGGCTTCTCCAAGGAGCGCAATTCCTACGGAGGCTGGAGCTGCGTCCACAGTCAGTCTTCTGACACCTCCTCGTCTTCCTTGCTTCCTCCCAGATAGCAAGGCCGCAGTGCTGAACTCTCTACGTCATTTAAAGAAGGCCAACGCAGGGAACAATTGAGAGTCCCAGCTGAACGTTAAAGGAGCTATGCAACAATTTTTGTACTTTGCGCAAATACCGCTTAAAACGGATCCCTAACGTTAATGACCTATGAAACACGCGTTCGTTTTTCACCCAACGCAATAGTAGTCCCAGAAAAAAATTAAAGAAAAACGAGCAGCGTTCGCCCCCTCAACTCGCAGCCAGAACAAGCGGCCACGTGATCTGGAGCCGATTATATGCCGCCAGTGTTGATCATAGCCACGCGCTGGGGTTGGCAAAGCGCAGGACACGCGCTGAGTTCCAGATATTGTTATGGCTCGGCTGTTGTCGTCGTTGCAGCGATTGGACACGGGTCACCACCCGAATGCTTCTCGAGCTAGCAATTATCACGAGCCCAAGTCGAGTGCCCACGCAATGCTCGGGTCCAATCTATGAACCGCATTCAAATATCGTCACTTGGGTGTACTGCGATCCCCGAGTTACGTCATAAAATTTTGCAAAGGAGAGATTGAATAAAAATGATCGCTTTTGTCCTTGAAATTACACCGCAACAATGGAGTTCCTTGGCCAATGGCGTTGCGTGTGAGTATCCTTGAGTCCCACTAGTGCCAGTAAGGTCGTGTCAAGTGAGAAACATTACAATTGGATATCGTTGCACAGCTCCTTTAAGGCAGCACTCCTGTCATTGCTCGCGTTGGCCTTCGTTAGGTGATGGGGAAATTTCAGCACTACGGCCTTGCTTTCAGGAGGTCCTGGTCTCTTGCAACATAAGAACTGCACGAGAGGCTCCGCCTCTCCGAATGTCCTAGAGAAATGTTTCGTCAACCCCACTTGCTACAAGGGCGCAAATGTTTAGGGGTAGGCGAATGGAGGTTCGAGGCGAACAGCGCCGAGTCGTCCTTAGCTTCAACACTGCAAGGAGAGCCCGTATGTCGTCGGTTTCCCCAACACTGCGAAGGCTACGAATGACGCAGCGCTCTTCTTCGACTCGAACCGTTATTCGCCCGCCCTTACGAATTTTATGACATGGCGAAAATAGAAAGGCATTCGTCAAAGCATTTTTTTTTTTTTAAGATTAAGTTTTACCAAAAAGAAAGAAATAAAGGGGGGGGGGGGGGGGGGGTCTCGGGTTATTGCTTAATAAACAAAGCTGAGTTGTTGTTTTTTTTTTCTTGCAGGCAGATTGTTTTGCAGTTAAAAATATGGAAATCGATTAATGCACGTAGTGTGGTGCCAGTATCCATCTAATCACACTAGTATAGACTACTGTACGTGTGGACCAATGTTGCAAAATTATGTCAGTTGGTAGACAACCGACGAGACACTATGGACCCTTCCTCCCCTATACGTTCGTCACCAGTCGATTCAAATCCAGCATAAGAGCTAGTCATTTATCCCGCATACTTCACAACCAGCAATGCGGGACATCGTTTGCAGTTAATTAAAAGTAAAAAAAAAAAAATGTAAGCATGCGCAAAAAATAAATTGTACATTTTAAAGAAGAGCTATGAATATGTGAAAGGCATTTCTGATGATTGTAGCTGCGACAAAATTATTAGGGAAATATTCATCCAACATTGCATTCATAATTCATTCAACTAAGCTTCGTTTCAGCTTAAATCAAAACTTAGCCAACGCTACGAGGCAATGGGACCAATCAAACAACCTCAAAAGCGCAAGTCACTAGGCTTTTTTTTTGTTTATGACTGGCTCAACGGTGATAGGACACGTGACGAACACCATGACGGTGCGCTTTTGTCACCGTCTGATTGATCATATCAGCTGGTAGCGTCGGCTACGTCTGGACCCAGAGTGAAACGCTGCATAGTAGCACCTTGTGCTTGTGTGCGGAAATATTATCTTGGCTTTAACATGATATTCGAGTAAGCAGGGGTTCTAAACTCGTCCAACACAAAGTCGCACTCTAAAAAAAGTCTGTGCGTCTGCTTTCACGCACAACACTCCGAGAACCAATCAGCGCAACTTACGGAGGCAGCTCAGCGAATGACGATGCCGAAACATATGTTGAGACCAAAAAACGCAGTCCGAGTTGTGACATTAAGCAATGCAAAACGTCACGCTTGCATTGCTTAATGTCACAACTCAGTCTGCGTTTTTTTTTTTGGTCTAGACAGATGTTTCGGCATCGTCATTCGCTGACCTGCCTCCGTAAGTTGCGCTGATTGGTTCTCGGAGTGTTGTGCGTGAAAGCAGACGCACAGACTTTTTTTAGAGTGCGGGACCGAAGTTGACGGAGCGCACTGATTGGCCTATCACGGCGATGACTTCGCATTTTTTGTTTTTTTTCGCCGACGTCCAATTGGCGCGCTTCGGGAATTTTCGGCTCCGATTTTGCGTTTGACGAGTTTAGGGTCCCAGGAATTCGAAGAAATCTTCAAATATGCGCGCTATCTTACCGTCACCGAAAAGAGTGCCTCTTGCAACGCCACGCCGTTCGACTTTGGCAGAAATCGCGTGCTCTGTTTCTTTTTTCGAGGAACCTCATCGTTTGGATTCGGAATCCTGGCTGTGATCCCCGTGACTGTGGTCGTCATATGCCTAGTTGCCTGTTGTGTGTAAGTTCAAAACTTCAACCCTACCCCATGAGCATCGACTCTACATACACCTATCGTCGTACTCGGGGAGCAAAAGTCTGGAACTGTGTCCTAAAGAGAGGGTTTTCTAGCTTTCTGAAATCGTGAGTTCGCGGCAACACATCTACAGTCGCCAGCTGGCAAGATGATAACGGCAAAGCGTCTCTCTCTCCCTCTCCCTCTTTATATATATATATATATATATATATATGAACAAATAAGTGCAGATGAATGAACCGTACTTAATCCAATGAATCAAAGTTTCCAGGAACCCGCCGAAAGCCAAAAATTGGCAGCCAGGATTTGAACTCTGGGCCTCCCAATGTCCGGTCGGGTGTATATATATATATATATATATATATATAGAGAGAGAGAGAGAGAGAATGCCCGACATCCGCACGGGACCACTGCCTTCCGCCGTGCTTTGGCTGCGCTGGAGTGACGAGATGTCGAAGCGGAAGGCATTCGAAGCGTTCACTTCGAATGCCTTCCACTGGCAGAAAACATTTAAGGGCGGGACAACTGAAAGATGTCCCTATCCTTCTCATCCTGTCCATTACTATATGACATAAAATATATAAAGAAAACAGTAAAAAAAAACTTGGCTTATCCGTGTCGGCAGGGTAAAAAAAAAAAGATCACGATTGTTGTAAACAAATAGATATATATACAGGGTGTTTTTTTTTTTCTTTTTTTTAAGCATAACAGATTTGTTTAAAAGAAGCCGTGAAAGTTACACTTATGCCGCTTGTGAAGGTGAGTTATACGGCCAGGGGGACATAATATAGGGGGATAATCGTAAAGATCAGTCATCTAATTAATTAAAATTCGGTAATTAACTTTTTAATTCATGAAAAATAGAGATATGGTTCCAATTAGAAACTTGCTCAGCGTCATCGAAAACCACTAAATCAGTCATTTTCCAAAAGACTTTCGGCCCGTGAGAAGCGTAGTATTGTACTAAAGTTACTACTCGTGGAGCAGGTACAAGGCTGGGGCTATATAAGAGACGGAAAAATCGCGCGGGTGCCTTATCACAACCGTTAGCTTTGTACCTGCTCCACGAGTGGTAACTTTAGTGCACTACTACGCTTCTCACGCGCTCAAAGTCTTTCTGAAAATGACTGATTTAGTAGTTTTCGATGACGATGACCTGGTGAAGAGCGGTCCCCGCTCGAAACGTCGTAATAAACTTCGAATTAGTAACTCCGACAGTACGCATCTTTGACTTATTAACTTTTCCCGGTCCATTGTTTTTATATTTACCTTACTTTACCTATATATATATATATATATATATATATATATATATATATATATATATATATATATATATATATATATATATATATTCTGTTTGAATCAAACATATTTTATTCAATCCAGATTAATTTGATTTTAAAAACCTTAGCTAAAAAATAGTGATTCTTTACCAGCAGGTTTTTTTTTTTTTTTTTTTTTTATGGCAGACTGATTGATGATTTCGTTCGATCGCTAACGCGAAAGAAGGGCAGTAAGTCTGTTGAAGTAATAGCTTATCATGGATGAAAATCCTGCGATATATTAGATCCAAGTAAACTTCATTTTTGTGTTAATGGAGTGTATTTGCTTTTTTTTTCACGCTGTGATTGGTTTGCAATAGGACATGACGTAACTAACAAACTAAGTGAAAGTGGAAGGAAACTTCAAAGTTCTGATTAGCTTAGAACAGCACCGCTTTTTGCTTTTAATCAGCTTAATATAAGTCTGTCTTGCTTGATTATTTTTTTATGAAATGTAAAACAAATGCACGTAGAAAGCCTCATATTATTCACGAACTATAAAGATAAAGACATTTTGGGATTACTCTTTTTTCTAGGAAACGTTTGATTTAATTTTTATGGCGAAACGGGTGCAAATTCAATCATCTTGATTTTTATCCTCCACCTTGGTCTATACGGCAATGTATTGACGCTTAAACGAAACTTTTGGTTGAGTCCCGTTTTTCCTTCGATGGTTTGGAAAAACCAGGACGATCCCATGATCACATCCTCAATGTATACATCAGAGCGTTGTAACATATGAAACTGACTTTTTGTTGTTGTTTCTTATTTAAACTCGATTAAATTTGTTTAGTATGGCATCTGGGAGCCGCCATATTGCTGAAGCCTTGCCAAGGGTTGTCCACGGTTGCCAATCTGTTGCCCTGACAAGACGTTTTGCCACAAGCGGTGGCCAGGACACTACTCTTTGAAGCGCAGTTGCTCGCAAAATTGTTTACACGTTTGCAAGCAGCCGCGCTTAAAAGGCTTGTCTGGCCATCATGGGTATAAGAATGCTCTGTTGGGGCACCACTCTGACGACCATGGACAGCCCTTGGCAACGCTTGACTAACAGACGGCGTAACCACACCATCGGCAAGATGGCGGCGCCCAGAGGTCGCAATTGCAAACATCTGTACAAGAAGCGTACTGACTGGCCTTGCCTTTCTTGTCCACGACAGACAAGTGGCGCTGCGGAAGCAACAGCAAGTGCCCGCGTCCAACGCCGCCCCTGCCGGACAGCCGCAGCAGCAACAGCAGGACGATCTTTCGCGCGTCAACAGCAACGCCACGATCTCGGGCGTGAGCAATATCTACAGGCAGAGGAGATACTGTGAGTGTACACGTCCTGAATGTTAGCGTCACTGCCAGATTCAAAATTCGGTACCGAATGGAGCCATTACAGCTGTCGTGTGTCTCCGACGCAATCTCTGGCAGGCAGGAGAAAAAGATACCTCCCTGTCATTCTTGTCCTATTCGCGACCATATAAACCAGGGGTCTCAAACAAATTTGAGTGTGAGGGTCAGATAGGCCACCCTCGAAAGGACAAGGGCCAACAAACAAACAACACTACTGTTCCACGTTGCAAAGCAGCGCCGATTGTCCCAGCGATACCCCAGAGAATTTCTAGACAAGAAACCATCGTTAACTTTCATTTGCATATACGACTACTTTGGGCCTACACCTGTAGTAAGGAGATCTAAAACACCACCAAACCACAGTTGTTGTAGTATTTGTATATAGTCGATAATGGCGGCAATAAAAATCCCATCCTCGTCGCCAAAATGTAGTATATCTGATCGAGCGGCGGCCAGGGGCCCGCCGCTGAAGCTCGAAAAAGGAATCACACCCGTCGGCTGCTGGTCATGGTCTCTGCGTTCCGAGATACCCGAGCGCGGGTGCTCGGCGCTGTCTATTTCACGCGCAGCATCAGATTCTTTTTCATTGCCACCATTATCGACTTACTGCCAGTTTTTAATAGGAGAGAAAACACACCGTCCTTGCGCTGTAGCAGAATTTACTCGTCTCAGCAGGCAATGGAAAAAAGATCTCTTCATAGGCAGTTGTTACTTTCCTGGCGATTTTTATAGCGCCAATATAAGAAAATAATTTAATTTTAAGGAATTGCCCGGCAGTTAGAAACCCGTCCGAGCTTATAGCTATATCCTTTTCAGTCGCTCCTGCTGAGCAAGAGTTAGTGCAGCCGAGGTGCCCCCTTGAGCACAGACCTCGCACATGTAGCCTAGTAGTGGCATTGCTATTCCGGTTGATTTACATGAGAAAGTGCTGAGAAGCATGTATATAGCCGAAGAAATACCCCGTCTAAAATATAATACAACAATGCGAAATGCGTGAACAGGTTGTATGAGCCGAACTCCTCTTCGAGCGGAAATGAATAGACGATATAAAGCTTTTGTGTATGGTGCATTTTGTCACTCAAGGCACGGGAACGATGGCTCGCAGCCGCGGGATGCTTGCGGGCCACGTCCCAGAGAGTTGCGGGCCGTATGAGGCCCGCGGGCCGCGTGTTTGAGACCCGTGATATAAACTAACTCACCTCTACAAGTTAAAAAAAAAAAAAAAAGTTTTCATATACTTTTTTTTTTGTTGTTGTTAAGGATATTCTGCAAGTTCTGTAGGAAAACAAAAAAATTGCGTTTAGGCCTAAGAGTTAGTCCTAAACTCGGTTTCGTTTGGGCTGGATAATTTAGAAATTGACTAAAATAGATTATTTTTAAGTAAACTATTTTTAGTCCGTTTATGAAGTTAAGAACGCAATAGTTTAATAAAGTAAAACAATTTCGTGCAGATCGAAACATTTATCTGAAATCAAAAACCTCTATACAAAAGAAGAACAAATGTTCGAGGAAACCTATGTAATGTATATTTGAAGGTCCGACAATGGTGGATCATCAGTCTTTTTGTGATTGGTCCTCAAACGTATGTGGCCTCACGCAGCGCGGCCGGAGAACTTCAATAACATTGAACAATCTGTATCCCCTCGTGTTGGAGTTGTCAAGTGCCTTTCCTGTACTGCGAGAATGCCAATCTGCAGAAAGCCACAAAAGCTCGCGGAATGTGCAATGCTAATCACACTTGTTCATAAAGCGAGAGCGTGCGGCCTTCTCCGGCGAGCGCTCAACGGGTGGCATTTGCGGGAACTATAATATAGTCACGTGGGGCAACATGGAAAGACCCGTTTGAGGGATGTCCCGACTCCTGCCCGCCCGATCGGGGATGCCGAACGCGGGAGGCTGCTATCACGCTGTTGACAAACGTAAAAACTACTCAACAATATGTCTCCACAAACAAAAAATCGTAATGTTTTCGTTTTCTTTTTTTTTATTTATTCACTGTAACTTTTATCAAGGCAGCATACTGTGTGCTAGGGCAGGACACCCCTTGAGTGGGTTCTTCCATGTTTTCTCACGTGACTAGATTAGTTGTCGAGAATGCCACCAGTCGAGTGCTCGCCGGAAAAAGCCGCGCGTTCCAGCGTAACTGAACCAAGTCAAAAGTGTTTATTGGCCTTAACATCCCTACTGCCGAAAGCATGAGGACTCTGGCATGAGCCAGCGAAAAAGCAGGAGCCGGCACATACAAATGCTGGCTGCCTCCACGGCTTTACGTGATTATGACCGTACATACTAAAATTACAACAAACTTTTTTTTTTCTAGGAATTCCTAGTTTGAGGTCATCTTTTTTTGACGTGTGCAAATACAGCACTTAACAAAAACCATCAGAAAAGACACCCATCAGCAGAAAAATAAAGCTATAACCGAAGCAAAAATAGATGATCTCGCAAGGACGTTGTAACTGCCAATGTAGGGTGTAAGTTTTCGCTGACCTCCATTGATCGTCATCTGCATCCCTGACAAATATCGACTTCAAATCATTTATTGCAGTTACACCAACTTATCATCAGAGCGCTTAGATATGTCGGTCCCATAAGCATTTGAATCCTTCCTCAGCAATTATACCTCAATGTTGGAAGAATCATTCCCTATGGGCATTTTAAAGGCTGCGGGTCGAATTGGTTGTGTGGTTGTCAGCGTAACCACTCGAGTTTTTCTTACTTTTCTTTTCCTTTTTCCCTGTGCAGTCCCCCATTACGTGGAGAGTTCCACAAAGCCGCATGGAACCCAGCAGGGTATGGCGTCCTCCCCCTGCGTGTCCCGTCCCATAGAAATGAAGCCTGTCGAAGCCAAGGTACTGCCAACTCTATCAACCCTAACTGCGTCTAAATCGTTATAGTATTACCAACACTGATTGTGCGGCACAAACACCTACAGAGGGTGGTGACATACCAGAATAACAATCGAGAATGAGCTGTTCATCATCCAGCGTTTAATAACTTCGAGCAACATGGGTTTTTGTCCCGTATATGCGAAGGCCTTCGTTAAAGGAAAGGCCAGTTTTTGTCGATCTCAAGAGCACAGAGCCAGTAAATCACCTTTTACCCAAAACCTTGGGGACATTTTGATAACATTTTTTGTATGTTGGTATCGGCTGAGGTATGTTTCTTTACCAAACTGTCTGCAGCCCTCTTTTTTAACCAACGTTTATCAGCTAACCGTGCGATTGACAGGATAATGCGTTTCACCAGTTTTAAAGGGCCACTGAAAAGAAAAAGAATGTTTTTGTTTTTTTTCAAACAGTCTGGTTGGGACACGCGTGTCACGAAATACAATTTATACGTGAAAAAAAAAAAAAAAAAAAATTTTAGAGCAATATTGACGGCGCGAGACGTGATTTAGTCTGTAGTCACATCCTTTCCATTTGTTTTCTCTCTCGGCATTTTGGGCGCGTGGAGGAGAGGTGGATCGGCTTGGCCATCACGTTGAGTTGGAGAGAGTGTATGACCATCTCGCTGAGGTGGAAAGAGTGTGTGACCCTTCCGTGACGTCGTGGATTTTGCGTGCAGAACTTGAAATAAATCTCGCGCCTTCAATATTGCTAAAAATATATTTTTTCGCGTAAAAATTATTTTTTTGTCACGCGTGACCCAATCAAACTGTTTAAAAAACGTTTTCTTTTTTCTTTTCAGGGGCCCTTTTGGTTTCTCTTCCAAATGTGTTTGTAAAGCTTAGGCAGTTTGCTGGTAGCGTCACTCCAGAAGATTGCTGTCATGCTAACAACACATCAAGAGTGTCAATTACTTTGTCTTTAGTGTCATGTAAAGTACACAAACCTAGTATTCAAGTTATAATACTGTTAGATGCTATGCATCAAGCAAGGCAAAGCAATACAGTGGGTTGGACATACTCCAGGTTAAACTTGATCCGAGACAATTCTCAGAGCAGACCACAAGTATTTCTTAACCACAGTCATGCTTCATACTCTCCAACTACCACCAAAGATTAACTTAATATAACATAAGGTATTGCAATACATATAAACGAGTTTACCCAGAAGAAAAAACTGTCATTAGTTTGTAGAGCACACGCTTGTGATGATCAGCTAGTTTTATTGACGGTTTTCTTTATTAAAGACCTAATTTAAAAAAATGCATACTTGGAAAACAACTGTTCTGCTTTCTTTGGGGAATGTCAGAAATATCTACTTCAAGTGAAATACAAGGATGCATTTATTAAATGTAGCTGGAGTAAAATGCAACTATCCAGAGTTGATGCTTAAAATCTTTATGTACAAAGTCATCAAAGTGCTTTTCAACGTTATTTCTGTGCTCTCCATTTCAGGAAACAGTGCCAGATTACGACAACACCGGAGATCCCAACTCTTCCGTCAAAGCTTGAATCCTCAACAGAAGTTACTGCCACTTGTTCCCCCACATGTTACTTGCTTCTTTAAGCAACGTTTCCTTCACTGCTTGAAGTGTTAGTCTAACTATCTACCCGTATTGAAATTTCACATGCAAACAGAGGGTAAGCCTCAGTTCATATCTGACATTCCAAGTTGTACAAAATCCTAGAGTTTGATGTTACAATATCTTTGTTAGTTTTCCTCCCTGGCTGTTTACCATTGCTTAATCTGCATCATCCGCAGAATGCATGCACTTGTAATTGGAGGCACAGATGTTTTGCTTGTCAACTGCGCCAGTACTGTTGATGCTCCATTACTGCAAAATGCTACCAATGTTGTACCTCATATGTGCATCAAAACAAGGCACTAGCTAAAAACACCCAGTGGTTTTAACTTTTATTTTATCTTCTTGGTGTTAAAGAAAAACTAAGAACAGAAACAAAAAGTGGGCCTCATCGGAATATACCTCCTATTCCTAAACCAAGCTTAAATGAGTTGTTAGAGCTTCACAAAAACACCTTCTAGACATGGAAGGTGGAAAAGTCCGGGTAGTTATTTCATCCCATTGACCAAACTGACCAACGGACTGATTCATCGATGGAGAGGCCATTTGTCGAGCAACGCCAACATTTTTTCACCCCATACTTGCACTCGAAAAGAATCGCAACTGTGACGGTCCTCAACTCTGTCCTTTCACATGTCCGACTCTCGCGAATGCAGCTCCCCACAAGTCGCAAAACTCAGCTGAAAAACACCAGTCCATCCCTGCAAAACGCAGCTTTCCTGCCATTTAGAACGGCTGAGCGTCTACCCGACCGGGGTACAACCACTGATCGGGCTTCAAATCCCCCAGTTCGACTGACAGCACTAGCACTATCCGTCGTATGCCACCGTTCAAAACCGTTCCATAACTCCGGCGTCACACGTGGCATCAAACGTTACCCTTCCAACCTCGCAAGAGTGCTAACCTACTGTAGATAGCAGTGGTGTAGCCAGAGAGGAGGCTTCAGCCCCTGCCGAAATCCAGCAGACCCTATAATATAAACATGCACCCCGCACCGCATAGACACCCCAAGCACACTCCCCCCCCCCCCCCCCCCCCCCCCCCAACCCCACCCACCAAAAAAAAAAAAAAGAGAAATACCTGGCTAATACACTGGTAGATAGTTCTAGCGAGTACGTCCTTCTCGAGTCAATCAGTTCTGCTCCCGAACGTAGCGTGGCAGCGGGATCATTGCCATCAAACCTCGAATGACAAGAACACACCTTAGTCTTAATCCGATTGCCTTAGACGTGTGCCTCTGTCCTCAACGGTGGAGAGGGTTATCGCCACGACAACCTGACTCTTGTTAGTGAAGCACTACGATTGGCATCTAAGGCAGTTAATATACTCTCAATCTTGCTTCTTCCATTCTAGCTGTTACCTTGGGAGCTTGCCGCATGCTGCTAGGTCGGCTGGTGGCCACAGCTCCTCGACTGTCATTGTTACTAGGTTATGTAGACATTTCTGCACCGAGAGCACTGTTTGTGAAGGTTTCCTGAAGGTTGTCGACAGTTTTAGGTGGAGCGTGAGGTCTCGGAGGGTGATGGCACAGCTGTCGCAATCTGCACGGAAGTGCTGCCGAGTGTCAGTGTGTTTCATACATAAAACCTCGACCGAGGAAGCTGTGCTAGTGCCCCATTCGACCTACGTATTTGAAACTGTACTGCAATTACATCCCTCTTATTGAGCCTCTAGCTGTATCCAAACTGTACCGTACGAGGTCAGTAGCAAGTTACAGCTTCTAAAGGAATCGGTCTTATTGAACAATTTAGAATCACCTAGAACTATGCTAGTATTATGCCACAGTCAGATTGCATAGCATGGACAGATCATGCCCCACCAGTCACATTAAGCCAAATGTCAATGTGACAACCCACGTCAAATTTAATTGCAAAACTAAACATCATACACAATCAAACTTCAAGCCAGACGTACTACTGGTTCGTCGCAGAAATTGTAAAGATGACAAAATCTGAGCAAACTCTAAATCTAATATATATCAATTTAGGCACAATAAAAGCTATGCGCAACAAACAAAAAACATAACTGCAACAGCAGCTGGTATCCTCAGAGGTACACAGCGCATCTTTGCAGACGGCAAATGTGCCCTTACCTGCTGACCTTACGTCATGTTACTAGGCACCATTTATCGTGTGTGACATAAACCGCGTCAGTGTCGTGGCCGTGCTCGTCGTGTAAGCTAACGACCACCGCGGTAACTCACGGTGGCGACGACGTATCATTACCGAGGGAGTGTTTGGTACTGTCTAGCTGCAAGGCGGTTCCCTCCACATCAAGGTAGCTAGGGCAAGTGACCTCCCGTAAGATTCTCGCTGCCACATAGACAACAGGAAAGGCGAAAGCCATTAGGTATGTTACATTTTCCATGTCCTTGTCGATGCACTCGTTACTTCCTGCCAGATGTCGACAGCACACAAGTGTCCGTGTTGTTACGCCGTCTTTTTTGCGTTTGAGCAAAACGATACCTGAGAGCGCCGCGCATCGTCTGTCCGCATTTCCTATCTTTCTGCCGCCACTCAGTTTGTCCACGTGGCCGAACATTGGGCTTCCTGTGAAATCTTGCGTCCCGAAGCAAGCCGTTTAAAATGTCTGCCGTCTATAAACTCCAAGCCTCCAGGCCAGTGTTCTCAAATGACAATGAGCTTTTGCTGCTTCCCTAGAACATATGTCGAAAGGTACAGCAACACCTAAATGTGTTGAAGCGCAAGCTGGTACGAGATATCGAAGAAAGATCATGCAGCTGAAACATTGTAGCAATGTTACGAGACATTGTGATAACGTGTCGTAATCATTGCAACAACATCCTGGGGACATGATAATATCTAACAATGTTACTGCAACGTATTACTGATGCCAGTCTCCTGCTCACACGGTTTTAGACAAAGTTTTAAACCGATTGTGAGCTTCCAAATTCGAAACAAAGTGGTACAGCAATGTCTGTAATGAAACAAGCGTAACTGGCGTGTACTGAAAGCTATCAGGACGAAATGGAAGGTGCTACCAGCTGCATTTATTCGCCAGCGTGCTGAGACTTGTACATTACGTACTCGGTGCCAATACTGCTATTACGAGCAGTTCAGTACACTGTAATCACACCCCGGCTCCGAACCTGTGAGAGTGTATGTAAATGTCACGTGGACCCATCTATAGGCGTCGAGGCATGCGTAACTCGTTCTTAAATTTCTAACACATTTTGCAGTGAACTCGTTGTCCACACGTACAAAAAAAAGGCATGAATGCTTTGCTCATCAAAAAAGGTGCAGGGTGATTTCTAACAAATCTCACGATAGTGGATCGATTGTCCCCAGTCAGTGTCCAATATGTTACGACATTTGTGCCAAAACAACTCAATGTGAAATTTTGTTTTTCGATTGAATCACTTCATGAAGTGGTGAGAGAGGGTCTTACTGCAATATTTTACACGTCGTTACATGGTACCGTGTCTATTTTTACTAATGTTACCGTCAATCTTCAATTGCTGTTACCGTGCCAAATATATATATACATATATAACTGCACATCTATATCAAGAGCTTTCGATGTGCGTTGTTTTAATACATATATATACATATAAAAATATAATCTATGCATTTCTGTAAAGCATTTTTGATGTTGTGGCTGGTACTACCTTACCCAAGAGTGTCGTCAAGTGACGTAGTGAATCGCAGCGTTTTTCATACGGCCTGGAACTTTTCCTTCCTTTACCGGCATCCTATGCCCGACCTCTGCGAGATTGCCACATACCTATGCGGCATTTGGGGAAGCTTTCTCGTACCTTTCGGAAAGCCTCATGCCCAGTGCCGTTGGACCATGCATCGCATCGCAACGCTTGACAAATTTTTCTATAATTTCCAATATGTGTTCACGCCCTGCGTTTACATGTGCATTCCTGAATAAAATCGTTTCCTTATTCTCTACGTTTACTGTGCACTGTATCATTCACCGAGCATGTCTGTTGTGATCCGCGTTACTGATTGCACATATATTCGGAGGTTTGGGACGAGGTATTGGAGAACCTCCGTCGCTGCATGTGCAGGGACATGAACTTGCTGCAATCGTCGACATTCCTACAGATACCATATAAGCCACAGCATCGTAATCACAGCTCGTACAAAACACCCAATGTCTCGCAGGTTTGACCATTGCAGGTGGTTAAACTTTGAAGGCTGGTCAGACACATGTGTTGGAGTATGATCGACAGTGTTGCGATTGTTTGCAAACATGTACGGCGAGACAACACGACGGCCCTATCTGTCGGCAAATGCAAGGATAGGGAATGTTCGTGTGTACAGGCTATGTTGTGAAATTAAATCACAAGTTTTACAGCCTCTTGGAAAGAGTGGTGGAGCAGCAATGAACTATCAGGGCATCACGTTTCCAGGTCATGCATGTGACGTGTGTTTTACACATTGGTAAAGCACATCAATAAACAGCTGCATGTCCTCTTGTGCGTGTGTCCGTAACGAAAGGTTTTTCAGTAGTTGACTGAGGGGACATCTTTGCTAGCTAGGTGCAATTTCTTTAGGCAAAATGGCTTCCTGCAAAAAATGTGCTTCATGTTGTCAGGGACATGTGCCACCGCAAACGGGAATCATCTGGCCACAAACGAAAAACTGAAAAATTTCTTGCAACAATGCTTCAAGATGGGGTAAGTCCAACACCACCTAGACAGAAGGCCTCCACATGCGTCATCATAGTCAGATCGATCGAGGCGAGAGATTGGGCACGAGTGCTGCGTCAGTGTCCGGCTGCGGCTCGTGGCCAATCAGCACGTCGAAGGTCGGACTCGGGTCTAATAGCCGACCGAGCGCGATCCGACTGTGATGACGTTTCATAGAGGAAGAGGAAACCTTGCGGAGGCCTTCTGTCTAGGTGGTGTTGGTAAGTCACGGCTGGGCAGAGATCCTCCAAAAATTATTGGGGAACACA